TTGAAAATATTTTTTAGAAATATTAAGGATCAAAAGAAATATAATGTATAATTTGCATAAGAATGCTCAAAATTAACTGGGAGTACAAAAATACCACCATAAGAATGATCAAAACTACCACTCAATGAGCGGTGAATAAATAGTAATTTGTGAGAGAATAAATAGTAATTACTATTTATTTTCTTCATTTTTGTTAGCCGTTTTGTTAATGATTTTTAATAATTCGAGTGTTAGATTAAAAAGAAAAAAACCCTGATCCATTTTGTTGAAGTTTAAGTTTGTGCTAAAAAAATGCAATTATCTATATTTTACATGATTAAAAAAAAAATATAATTCCCATATCTAGAAATGTCAGTTTATGACTAAAAAATAATAATTGGAGCATAGAAATGTCTCTGTTTTCATCACAAGCATTTGCTAAATCTATTTCGAATTTTAAGTTATATAAGAATTAGTTTCTCAACTTCTAGTTAAATTTTCTTCAATTCTAACAGTAAAAATATACCTGAGTTATATATAATAGATTTTTTAATTTTTTATTCATTAAAAATATACCAAAACTTTACCTTCAAACTTTTTTAATAGGTTAAATATAAATTTACAAGTTAAAGATATCAAAAAGATTATTAAAAGAAGAAGAAGTCAAAACGAAATCTTCAATAGGGCCTTTTATTTGCAAGAATCAAACAATAAGTATATAAAACAGCATGCTAAAAAAAAAAGAGAAAAATAAAGAATACGGAGTACCTGTGTCTGCAAGATATTTTCCAACTACGTACTGGTTTTGCTGAAATCAGAAATGGAAATAGAAAGAAGAGAGAGACTGGATTAGAAAATGGAGGCGGAGAAATCTGGTAGAGCCGTAGAGGATGGGAAATCTGGTATTAGCAATGAGAGATGGGGAAGAGATTGTTATAGAAGATACCTTATAATTGAAATGATGGGGAAGATATGAGGAATCTCAATAATGTAGTTCCACTTTATTCTACCATCCAAGAAGATGCTGTGTTTTTTCCTTCTTTTTTATTTTTGAGTAAATTATAAATTAGTCCCTTTAGTTTTTCAAATTGAATTAAATAGTTCTTTTAGTCTCAAAAAAAAAATAATTAATTCATATATTTTTAAATCTATTTTTAATCTCCTTCATTCTTTTTTAATTTATTTTAATTTTTTTTATTTTAAGAAATAAGAAATAAAAAAATAAGTGAAAAATATGCGAGGATCGATGAAAAAAGATATTGTTGAAATAAAATAACATTACATTAATGTTAATCAATGCTACTCAGCAAAACTAATTAATTAATTTCTTAAACAAAAAAATTAATTTTTTTCTCTTTCTTATCCTCAATATCTCCTGTTATAACTCTCCAATTTCTATTTCTGTTGAACAGTCCATATATAATCCTTCTAAACACTGATGAAGAGCAATTCCTACTTTAATGCAACACAAAAATTTGATGTCTCATGTCCAAAAAAATATTAAATTTCTTAGCATTTAACATTTTCTAGGAAAACAAACAAACATGAATATTTTTGGCATTCAAAAGAAATGGATGGGCCCACGTGGAGGACCCCTAGGAAAAGAAACGAAGAAAGTTATGAAAAGAAAAAAATTTGAGTATGAATGCTAGGTGTAAAGGTGTAAAGGCGAAGCAGATGACATAAAAACGATCAGAGTGGGTGCGTTGGATTCTTATCATGTTCGATGCTTTCCTTTACAGCTAGCAATAATTCACCCCTTACCTGGAAGCCACCGTGTAAGACTAGGCGTAAGGAGTCAATTTCGTGCTTTACTGTTAACTCTATTTGTCGTCTATGGAATGTTTGATACAATTCCTCACTGATTTTTTCCAGTGAATTCCTTTTAGATGTGAGGATGACAACTTATTCATCCCCAACTTCCACGAAACTTATCCTCAATAATATTGCTTATAAGGTTATTTACATGCCTTGATTCATTGCGAGAAGAATATCCCTACTCAGAAAAAAAATAGCCATTAAACTTCACTCCTCTCTGCTCTTCAGCCAAGGTACCTTTCCAATTTCGAATTTATAATTAATTAATTAATTTTTTAAAAATGAAATGAGAAAAATGAGTTAAATCAATTTATATTAGTAAAGTATTTAATTTTAGTTAATGAGTCTATCAAAAATAACTAAATAGAGTAACTATTTTTTTTTGTTTTAATATTTTAAATGATTAAAAAATCTAGGCTTAAAATAAAAATTAATTAACACTAATTGTGAGAATTAATTTAATTTAATTTATATTATGCAAATTATTTTGAGTAAATAATAAATAATGAAAAAGAAGGTATAAAAAAAGGGAAAAAAGGCTGGGCTGGGTTAACTTCAGGTTCTTCTGTATTGGGCCTGGTGACCAGGCCCAAGTATCTGGGCTGGAAGCACAGCCCACCAATAAAAACACAGGGACCTAGCTGAAATAAATATTAATTTAAGAGACCGGTTTGCATAACATTTTAACTTGAAGGACCACAATGTACAAAAGTGGATAAATTATGAAAAAAATCCCTTATTATTTTGAAAAACCGCGTCATTTCAAGGGAAAAAAAATTCAAACTGACGCCGTTTTGGTTCACTTTAACGAGTTTTAATTACAATAAGATCATATCCTCTTTTAGATTATTTATAATGTTTCGTATGTTTTTTCCACGTACATAGACAAGAAGCATGCATTCATTTTCCAGGAAATTTGATAATAATACTAATAGTGTTTGACACGATATACCAACTTTTTTTAGTACTAATAGAGCTTGAACAGTAGTAATAATACTCTAGTATTAATAATAATATATATTTTTAAAAAAATAATACAACCACCAGCGAGAAAATAACAAGTAAACAAAATAATGGTGATAGAATAATAATAATAAATAATAATTTTTTTTTATTGGTATATCAAATTGAAGTACTAGTATCGAGGTACCGATGCCGATGTTAATGGTTGTAACGAAGATGATATAATAGAAAATAATTAATATATAATAAATAAAACTATATATTATTTTTTTAATTTTTATTCTTACATTTCATATAAAATACAATAATGTTTAATTTTCATTTATCATTCTCATTCTTAATTTATTTCTTTCAACCAAATGCTTATAAAATGAAAATAAAATTTTTATCCTTATTTCTTTTATTTTTTATTTTTTATCAAACAACACCCAAACGCTTGAACCGAGAGAGAGAGAGAGTGCAAGAAGGCTTTAACAAAATGCATAATTAAAAAGAAAAAAAACTAACAGAAATTAAAAATGAACAACAAAACTAGACAACAAACATGCTTTCTTCCCACTAAAATAAACAGTTTGGGGCCGCTAATGAAAGAAAATCACAAATATGACTCAACTGCCATCCACACACATATACATAGATTTGTAGTCCTTTATCTTTAGTAAAAGTTCATCAAAAACAATTCAATGAAAATAAATTTAGTAATAATTGAACTACTAGTGGCTTAATCAATTAAGTTTTGATATCATATAAAAAATAATTCAATTCAAAAATTTAAACTAATGTTACGGTGAGAAACTAAAATTGATTTTATTATACTTATTAATAGAGTATATGATAAAATATATACTTAAAAGGTAGTTTTAAGGTTAAAATGACAGCAAAAATAAAATAAATATAACGATCAAGATAAGTAACAAATTTAGTTGGTTAAATAAAATAAATAAAACAAGTTGGTGAAGCAAACGAATGAAGTATTTTCAATTAAAATCAACTTTCAAATTCTTTCTTTTCTCCCTCTCTTTCTCGGCAATTGTCGCTCTTATGTCACTTGTATTTGGCCTGCGGCGGACCCTCGTTCCTTGCATATACATGTCAGACAACAATTCAAAATTAACTTTAGAGGGATCAATCAATGGCCCAATATTCCAACACATAAACCAATGCTTTTGAGTCTAAGTCAAGGGATTGGGCTCCACCAAATGTGGAGTGAGATAGGGGGTTACCTTGGCTTTTTGACTCGGTGACAACCGGTGAACTCGATGAAGAGGCCACCGAATTTGAGGAGGCCTTGAGTGGCGATGAAGTACTGCGATCATCGTTGCTAGGCAAAGATGCCACTTTGCTCTCCAAACACTCGCTCTATGGCTATCACAACAGAGCCGATCCTTCTCCACTCGTGAGATGTCATTAGGCGAGTCCGAGCCCGAGTCCGACCCACAATTTTCTTTCATCCTATCATCTCTAACGAGTAGAGCCCGGAGCGACGGACTCATCCGCTTCGGAATAGGTCGAAGAGCTAGGCCGAGTAATCGGGGCTACTGCAACGGTCCCAAGAGTAGGCACGGCAGGAGGAACCTCGACAACAACAAGCAACAGGGGTGCTACTCGCCATTAAGACATCCCCTCCATTTTTGGGTTCCGTCGAATTAACTCGGTATACTCTTAGCCTTGCACGAATGCCCAAACACTTTGCAAGTTCCACGGACACTCGGCTTCCATTCATACTCAACCGAAACCGATATAGGCTCGGAAGATAACCTACATTTCAAGCGAAAGGAGTGAACCATAGGCATCGAAGCATCCAGCTCAACACAAACCCGAGCATAATCAAGTCGAGTGCATCCTAGAGTTTGTTGGTCGGATGATAAAGGTCTTCCAACCATACTCGCCGCCATACCTAATCCAAGTCTCATTCCACAACGGAAAAGGCAATCCATGAAGTCGGATCCACACTGGAACCTTTGAAATTTTGGATTTGTCAAAAACAAAGTGGGGATGCCATCGTTGGAGAACAATGCTCTTACCTCCAAACATCCACGGTCCCTGCTCCATAACCAAATGGACATCCTCCTCTCTCTTGAAACGAAAAATCATGAAGCCTTGTCGTGTTGAGGAAACACTCTCAAGACCAGAATTTTTTCAAACCCGTTGAGCAATAGAGTTCACCGCATGGAATGGCATCCGAGCACACTGGAAAGAAGCCAACTAAACATCGGCTCCATCGTGAAGAACTCTCATCAATGACGTGGTCCGGAATTTCCAAAACGGTACCTATTGAGATACTGGAAGAAGATGTAGTCACATTTCTTGACCCACCTAAGGAGCTTATCCCTCTTGACCCGGACACTTACAATCCAGCTGCTTACCTCTGGTTAGTTTCAGTGAAAGACATGTGTTTTTACTTTACCAACTACATGTTGCCGCAGCCCACTGTCTGATCATTTGATTTCGAATTGTTGCAGGAGTAAAATTGAGGATATTCCAGAAGAAAGGCGTCTTAGATTATTGTCTTTGATAAAACAACCTAGGTAGTATTTCTATTTTTTTTTTTTTTTTTGGTGTGTGTGTTTCAAGTTTAAGAATTTGATGGTTACTATAAAGGGTTGTAAAAGTTTGAATTTTTTTTTCCTTGGGTTTGGTTTAAATGGGATTAATTTATGTGTAGGCTAATATCAAGAGCTTGGGAGATAGCTGGCATGAGATATGAGGATGCTAAGTTAGCAAAGAAATGTGGGTCTGACTTGTTGTGTTGTGAAGATGGTGAAGTGTCAGTTGAGTTTTTCAGTTGTAGAAGTAATGGAGGTAAATTCTTTGAATTCTTTGTTTTGGTTATGTTGGTGTGTCAGTGTGTGTGTGTGTGTGGAGTGTGAACTGTGAAGTTTTGGTGATAATGTGATTTTGATGTGGAATGTTGTGGACTAGGTGGTTTGGATGTTTCTTGGATGAAACAGTTCAAGATGGTGAGTTCTAAAGTTCTTCTGTGTTTATAATTTGTTCCTTGCTTCTTGCATATGATGATATGTTTGTGATGATTGATGCATTTGTTTTTTCCATTTCAGGCTATATTTCGTTGCCGTAATGGGGAGGTTTATGGGAGATTTATTGGTATGTTCAGCTGTCTTTTCCTTACCGTGTATACTGTTTTGTATGTTGTAAAGAAGGCTTCAATTGTTTGTCTCTGTGTGTGTGCTTATTAGTTGTAAGCTGGTAGAGGGCTGGAGTGGAGGGGTTAAGGGACGGCAGGAAGGCAGAAAATGGAGAGATGTGGTGAAGAAATAGAAGAAGCAAAGTTTTCTATATTTGAAAATTTGCTATGCCTATCTATAATCAGATTCATATCTAACTTAAACTGCTTGGGGCGGGGGAGGTGGGGCTTTGGAGGAGTGGAATGGGGCTTATCAATTTTGTGATGTGCATGACAGACTATGGTTTGTTTCTAAGTTGTTTGGGACTTGATCAGTTGCCTAAAAAATTTCTTCTTTTATCAACATCTGTAATGGATATTCTTAAAAAATCATGCTCTTTAGCTTTTGGATTCAAAAGCACTCAACTGTCTCTGTGTGCAGTGTATGTATTTGTCAAATTAAAAAGTAGATTAGCTTAATCCTAATCTTAGTCAACTGATAGCAATGATGCTTAAACAGGTGGATCGGTGCTGGCTCAAATCAGAAAAACCTTTAGTCCATTATACTTTAAGGTCGCAGAGCAGAGGGAAGTAATGTCTACGGAGCAGCCCTGTGATTTAGCCTATGAATTTGGAGATGGGCACTTGGATCTCTGTGATTATCCTCAAGGCTTTCCAAGACCAGGTGGGATTTATTTAAGAATTGTAATGCTGCAAAAGATTTATAGTTTCAGATGACTAGTTTCTAATTGTAATGTTGTGAAAAAGTTGATGGAGTCTCTCCTCCTCATCACTGTTTTGACTTCATATGGTACTGATTTGCATGTGCATCTAACAATATCATGCCAATGGACCCAGGATTCCCTGATAGATATCTATAAAATAATGTTACTCTCACCTTTGCAGAATTTTGATCTCAATTATTGCTAATGGAAGTAACCATAAGCTTACCTGAAAAATAAAATTTACAATAGACATAATTTTTGACAATTATTTATAGCACTATTTGATGATATAATGTGTTAGTCCTATTTAACTCTCCCTCCTTGGACCGCATAATGTTTGAACCAGTCTAAAAGAGTTTCTTTACTTTGCAGAAAAACATCCATATCCTTTCGATGATCAGGTTGTCATGTATGTTCGTCATGTTGGACCTGGGGTGCTAGTGGGGCAAGCATGGCAAGAAGGGAAGGAATTACAGCAAGTTCCTCAGAAGTTATGTGATGAGATTTTGATGGTTAAAGATTATGGCCCACCTAGAGAATATCCCTAGAATTTTTTTGCTTATTTCCTGTACTTTGTTGATCTAGAGCAGCAGATCAGATCTTGAGCCCTTAAGTAGAATCGCTAGAAAATATCCATGCCAAGGTTTTGAAATCGGCACTGTCATGGATAGTCAGGGAAGAAGAAAAAGGTGTAGTTTCTGTAATGCCCTTCTAGTTCTGTGACTGAATCTTGAATTTGGCTTCTTGTCATCTATAAATTGTAACATCACAAGGGAGGAACACGAGTTTCATGTGTATACACATTGCAGAATTCCAAGCTTCACTACCATATCTTTCTTTAATTATCACAAATTCAACATTTTATTATTTGCCCTTTTTCATTCTCAAAAAGAAAAAAAGAATTTTTAATTTTTATAGATTAGCCAATAGCCATTGGTTAATGTCTTTTTTTTCTGTAATCGGACGGTAAGGTTATCTTTAGACGAGTTTATATGTCAACGAAACTAAGTTTTTTTTTTTTTTTTGAATAATTTTAAGAAATCGGTTTAGTATTTTCATAAGAATTTAATATTTTGATAAGTTCAAAAGAATTTAATAAATTTTTTTTTATATAAATATTGATTCTAATATTTAAATCCAAAATTTTTTTTAAAAATAAATTTTCTTAATCATTGTCTGAATGAAGAATTCAAAAGAATTCATATTTAACGCTAGAGAAAGGAAACTTAAACATTAGAGAAAGGAAAGCGCCCATTTGTGTCAATATATATTTCAATGTTTAAACATTAGAAAAAGGAAAAAGGTGAAGACGAGAAAATCTTAAAGTGATGATTTTGCTGAAGTTATGCTAATTGCTGATTGCTTCATGTTCTTGGAAGAGAAAATGAGTAATGTAATTTTACAGAACCTAAAAGGGGATTTTGCAATTTTACAGAATATTGGGGTGGTGAATGTTAAAAGAAACTTGCCCACCATCCTCTCCTTGGACCGAACTCATTATCAACACCATCAGTGTCTTCTGTTCTGCTCTCTCAAATTACTGTTACTCCTTTCTGTCCATTGTTTGATCATCAAGCTTTGTACAGAAAATAAGTTCTTGAACTCCAAAACCCAGGCTGTCCTCTCTCTAACAAGTCACAAATGCATCTCCAAACCCAATCTCTCACCACTCATTTACCCATTCCTTCTCTCTTCCTCCCAAAACCAACAACAGCAATAAAGCCCCACCAATTCACACCTCTAAAGCAGCAAAACCCAATTTCCCAATTCTCCTTAAAATGCTCTCTTTCAACTGTATCAGCTGAGCCACCTACTCATGTTGTTGGATCTTCAAATGATAAGCCCTTTCCTGCTGAAGTTTCAAGAACCATCATGGAGTTATCTTCAGTTGGCACTCTTTCTACTCTGACCAATGAAGGTTGGCCTTTGAGTGTTGGTGTTAGGTTTGCTGTTGATGATTATGGGACTCCTGTTTTGTGCTTGAGTGATTCTTATAGACAGTTTTCTGTCGATAAAAGGTCTAGTCTTCATGTTCAGGTAATTCAACTCAATTCATTTATTCTTCAAAATGGAAAAAGATAGAGTCTGTATTAAACATGTTTTTATGTGAGTATTTAGATAGTTGTTAATGGGTTTTTTTTTTCTATTTTTCTTTTTGGGCTGGGATTAGTTAGAGCAATCTGGAATGAGGACTCCTCAGTGCACAATTCAAGGCAGCCTTGACAAGCCCGAGGACAGAGAGGTTTTAAAGGTAAAAAAAATGGTTTTTTTTTTTTTTCTTCATTTATTGGTTGCTTGTAGTGATTGCTGTGTTATAAGTACTGTGGGTTTAGATGGTTTTTAGTAGTTTCTGGTAGAACATTACACTGAAAGGTCAAGACTTTGAAGTGAATTTGATTATTGGTTTTGAAAGATTGGTACAATTTTCTCAATGGAGTATGGATTGTCTGCTAATAATGAGATGCTATTGACTATTATTAACATATAGTTTGTGGAAGTAATTGGGATTAACGGAAGTGTTTTCAGTAAGTTATATTCTTCTTTTTCTGGAATAAAAATATGTAGTTATAAGGTGAGAATCCCTGTAGTTGAATAATTGATTAAATAGAAGTTGCAGTGGGAGTTTATTTGGATACGGATCACTACCACCTTCCCGCTGCAAGTTGAGGGTATCCTGTAGGAACTATTTTGGACTTGAGGGGCCGCAAGTCTAGCTGCTTTAGCAGCAAAAAAGTGATCAAGTTAGTTGTTTGGCCCTGATAAGAGGTCGGGAGATTGATTTTTACTCAGATGGAGAACCTGGACATGATGTGTGGTAGTCCTATCCTCATGGTTGCCAATTTCATTGAAGAAGTTTTCGTTTCTATCAATCTGCTCAGTGCTCATCATTGCTGCCTAGAGCAGGGCTTTGTGCATCCCGTAGTAAGGGTGCTTTCCGGGTTTGGGGAAAACAGGCTTGCCATAATCAGGACTGATTAATTTGCTGTATGTATTTCATGGATGTTAGTATGAGCTTGGTTAAGCACAAAAATAGCAAAGTACCTGTAGATTTTGATGTATCCTAGACACACATGATGTCCAGTTAACCATATGTGTGGTTTATCTTTCATGTTTACATGTCATGCTTCAATTGTTTAGCTCTGATAAAAGTTTAGTGGGAACCCATCTATATCCCCTTCTTTCTATAAGCTGCGATTCTACCATCTTTTATTATTATTATTATTATTATTATTTTGAGAATGTAGATTCTACCATCTTGTTTTTGAACCTAATTTGACCTGGAGGAGCAAGGTAGTCAAGCTAATTGACCAGCTAAGATGTTGAATGCAAAAATTTGATTGAATTCCTAGTTTCACTCTGATTTGAGAGTGACTATTGACTTTTTCTCAAATGGAAAACCAGGATCTGATTTGTAGTCCTACCCTGGTTACTGATGCCATGGAGGGAGTTTGATTCTTGTCGTCATCTCATCAATCTTGGCTCCAACGTGCCCAATGGCTTTCAGGAACTGGGAAAAATGGGCCACACAGTAGTCAATTTGGGCTGATTAATTTGCAGCACTTAGGTCTAAGCACAATGCAGCATGGAAGCTAGCAGATTTTGATTCTTATCAGCATGATGTCCAGTTAACTGAATGTGTGCTTTATTTTCTCTGTTTATTGTTGTGCTATGATCTCTGAGCCCATAAGTTTTGCCGGAATTTGCCTCTTTTTTTTTTTTTCCAGTGGCTTCACTCAAGGTGGAAAAAGAGATTTGGAGAAGAAGTTAAGGATGAACTTATTTATGTTGTGGCCATGGAGCGGATACTTCAGATGGAAGACTTCATGGAGGTATGATGGGGTTTTGCTTTCTGTTTGGTTGTGTTAATATGTAATTCTTGCTGAATTCTGATTTCTTTGCTCTGTCTTTAGATGGTAATTGCTTTTGGCTTATATAATTATAGGAAAATATTAACCTCTGTAACTATTTCAGGATGGTGTATGGGTCTCATCATCTGATTATAAAAATGCAAGCCCCGATCCACTCCGAGACTTTGCAGAAGCATTTGTCAATGAGATCAACGACAAGAACATGGAAGATCTTAGCCGCTTTTGCAATGTATATGTTGATTTGGACTTTCAGGTTTGCTGCCAACAAAATTCTCATCTTCATTGCCATCTGCAAATTATTTGTACAACTACTTGCTTGAGAGAAAGTATTTGCATGATATAACAAAAACAAGAATAAAACCCTTTTGGGGAAAATGCATTTTGATGACACAAGAAATCAGTGCAAAAAAATCGTGCCCAGTTCATCCTTATTCCAACATATTGAAGCTTCACGAAGGTCTTTTTTTAACTAGATTACCTTTCCTTAAATTTGAATTGGCTTGACAGGCATCAGAAGCGAAGATGATATGGGTTGATAGGTTAGGCTTTGACATGCGCCTTTGCTCTCCTCAGAAAGGCACATTTGATGTCCGAATTCCTTTCCCGAGAGAAGTGACAGATGTAAAGGGTGCCAAGTCCTCATTCAATGGTATGTCACAACTTGCTTGGGAGGTGGAAAAGAACTATCAGACGGTGAATTTTAAGAAGGTGAAACAATTAAAGCAGATAACAGTCAAGGGATTGTAACAAGTCACTTTTTCTCATAATTTTTGTGAGTTACTATGATAGGATGCCCTAAATGACAATTCTTTGTTGAGCTTTTATTGTCCATACCTTTGATGGTTCAAGATTAATTCAATAATTCAGACAAGTTTGTTGAAGTTGTGTATTCGATCGGCAAGTTTTCATATGTTGCTTGCAGTTCTCAGGCTGTCGTAACGAACATCGTAACCATTTTTAGTCATTCTAAAGTATGTTCAAATTCTTAAACTAAAAATGCACTTGATTATCACTAGTCTTTACACACGATTGCTTTACTTGTTTCCTTAACCTCTAAGATCTCTATTTTAGACCCGTCCTCTGTTGTCTATGCATAAAAGTGATTGTCCCAACCATCTGTGCCCTGTTATCTTAGTACATACAGATCCTGAAAATGGTCATTTTCTTGCATCAAGGGAGAGATTGTATTTTGAATTTGAAATACAAAACAAACAGTGGGAAGTAAGGGTATTGAATCAATACTAGAATCCCTTCATGCTTTTTATTTATCTCTGCATATGTAAGAATTTACAACAAACATAAAACTTCCCCAAAACCTAGAAGTGAATTAGAATTCAACATCGAGTTTCTGTGGAACTAAACTATCCCCAACTCCTAACTCCATCTCTATTCTCTCTCCCTTACTCTGCTTACATTCATAGTAGAACACAGTAAAAACCACAGAGTCAAAGAACTTAGCTAGGCAGAAAAAAACTGTTGCAACAAACCCAAAAGCAAACTGAGTGAAGGCACCAAGTTCATCATCATCATCAGTTGCTATAACATAGAACAGAACATAGATTGGAACACTGAGTACTTTTAAAATCAACATGAGGAGAAACCCTTGACTTTTCCTTCCTCTGATGAGTTTTTCTGATCTCTTCAACCCTTTTGTTCCACAAGAACCTTCTTCCAAAACTGAGATCACAATTGCAAGAGTCCAACTTACATCAAGATAAAGGTAAAACAGGACAGCCAGAATTGCCAAAAACCAACCCAACACATAAGTAGCATAATTTGCAGGACCAAGTAGGCTGACCAATTTGATCAAAACTATGGCTAAAACAGTGTAAATCACTGTAAAACAAGAAACGTATAGCCATGTGATCAATGGATTCTTCCAAGCAAATCGGATCAACGAAATCAGATCTTTCAGCCCTGCAGTTTTACCAAGATAACTTGAAGCTGATGCATGGATTGTTAACATAGTTCCGAAGAAGGAAACAAAGAAAAAGGCAGCAAGAAAAACAAGTTCAAGTCCTATGAGAGTTCTTACATCTTTTTGATCAAGAGAAGAGTTCTCATAGCCATCCTCAACCTTGTGAATTAAAAACCCTACTAAAAGATAGTGAAGTAGGCCAATAAGAGAGAAAGGAGAGAGTATGGTAAGCATGACTTGGAGAGCGAACTTCCCATTTCTTGCTGGTACGTTGATGGCTTCCCTCAAAATTCCATTCACATTCAATGGAGATGCAACCATGGCTGCTGGTATAGGAGATTTCAGTAGTTTTGTGGGAAGGCTTCAACTGAATTCACCTCTACAGATATGCAATTCTATCGTTATAAAGGGACACTATGTAAGACAGAAAAAGATAATTTGTCCCTTTTTTTTTTTTAACAATATTTGCAGTGTTTTGATGTCCAACTACCTAGTCATTAGTAAATTATTATTAATTAATCCAAGTATCTAACTTTTTTATTCTTTTAAAAATAGGAATCCAATTCTTTTTTGAACTTTAAATTGTTTGAAAATCAATTTTTTTAATTTTTAATTTTTTTTTCAAAACTTTTCTTGGACTATTTTTCACTTGAAACTAGGTTATACTATTATGTTTTTTTTATCAATACTGATGTAAAAGTGTAGTTTTTTGACGATTAATGCTACACGCATTAACATTTTAATAAAGAAAATTTTTATTAAATTAGTGAATTAGCAAATAATGAAATATAATATTACTTCAAGAAAAACTGTCGAAATTAAGCAATAAGTTGAAGGTTTAGTTTTGAGAGAAGCAAAATGATTGGTTTTGGTTAAAGCAACGAATAGAAAATTGACATGTTAAGAATTTCTTCCTTTGACGATTCCAATGTTTTGATCATGTTGTCGTTTGTCACCTTCCTGGGACGATACCACTTTAACTTCGACTATGCTAAGGACATTCTTAATAGAGGGAGGTGCATCTAGGGAGGGTTTTTTCTTGAATCACATTTAATTAATCGTCCAATTAATTAATTAATATCTTGTTATCTTTTCATAATTTAATTGTAAGTGGCATGTGCAAAAAAAATATATTTCTAACAAAAAAAAAGTCAAATAATGCTGTACAATCGTACGAGAATTTTTGTATATATTATGTTCGAGGTTGAATTTATCTTCAAATTATCTAAATAAAAAAATTTAATTTTTGTTGACGTACAAACTATTTTTATCATGTACTTATTTAATAATAATAATAATAAATCATATGATTTAAAAACTTAAGATTTATTATCTAATAGAGTTAGCTTGAGCAGAATGACTCTATTTATTTAAACAAATAGATTTGGATTTGAGTTTTTTATATTTAAAAAACCTTTTAGATAGTTATACATTTTTTATATGCCTGATCGAACAATAAAAAATGAGTCGGACCTATGATATTTTGAGGATCCAAAAAATAAAAAAAAATTAAGAGTACTTTTTTTTTTTTTTTTTTGGAAAATCTCAATTTTATCGGCGTAAGTAAGTAGAATCCCTGGTTTATAGATAGAAACTACAGCTGTAGAGATTTCTTAACTCAAGGGTCAACTATAAGTTTAGCCTTAGTCATTGTATAGGCCAAATATATCTCCTGATTTTTCTCTCTTTGTATCTATATACATCATGTAATTGAACAAAATTAAGTATGAACGAAAGACAAAGTGACACGGTCCGACAAAATTTGCATCTATATAATAACTCGAATCTATTTTGAGTTCTCAATAATTTTTTGTTATCTCTAATATATCCATAAAGTCTAATTGATCTTTCTTTCTAAACCCTTGATGTTTTAACAAAAAAAATATATAAAATTTCCTATAAAATGTTATCGGTTTTGATAATTAAAAAGGTATAATACGGATAGAATCCATCAATAAATATGGATAACGCCACTTAATTTCAATTTTTTTTGAAATTTAAGTGGTTATTAAAAAAAAATTACCTTATTCTCAAATCTTTATTTTTAACATTATAGAAAACTGGTTTATAAATATATTATTATTTTATATTCAAATCCAATGGGATTTCACTATAAATAAAATTTTTATTCGAGTATAAAGATCCTTTCAAAACACAATAAAAAAAATTAATTTTGATATTGAAAATTATTACATGAGTTTTGTTGTCCTATATATGAAGCAAAAATTTTGATTTAACACCTAATAATTTAGTATTTTCGACCAAATTCATTTCCCATTCTCACCAGAAACAGATTATGCATGAATTAAATTACAGTAAAATCTAGAATCTCGTGTTGTTTAAGTAATTGGGCTCACGGCCCGTATTATAGATTTAAAAGAAAAAGAAGAGTGAGAGCCCTGAAACTCAATTGGACCTAAGGCCCATATTAGATAGTCGAGATAGGCCCATTTTTATTCTTTAAGTAGGCCGGGCTAAGCAATAGAAAATAACTCATTTTCTTTCCATTTTTTATTAATTTGATTAAGTTGCTTTAATGCAATGGTAGCAGTAATAAATAAATTTTGGACCATAGCATTGCAAGATCCTACTATTCAGTCTTAAAATATAATAAAAGATAATGACTCAATTTGTTTTTATATAATTTAATATTTTTTTAATCTGATCTTATATTTCTATTGAATTAATTTTATGTTTAAGTATCGTTTTTAGTTAACTGAATTGTAAGAATGTTTTCAAAATAAAAATTTATTCATAGATAAATTACATTAATAATTCTGATACTTAGACTTAAAAATCATGACAAAACAAAAAAATTAAAAACTTAATGTCTATTGGGAGATAAAATTGACTCAATTAAAAATATAAAAAATAAATTAAAAAATTATGTTATTATATAAGAATAAAGCGAACTGTTAACCCCGATAATAATATTCATTGCGAGGAAAATTTGTTTTAGACAAATTTTTTTTTTTCATTTTTTCTTCGAGAAGTAGGGCAAACTAAACCTTGCTTCTTTGTCAAGAAAATCTCAAATTTGGAAACTGCATTTATGAACATGAATACATGATTCGAAATTCCAAAAAATCTTATCCGAAAATTTTGTCTATGAAGCATATTATTACGTAATAATTAAGCACGATGCATTAATTTCGTCAAACCTTAATATATTACTCTGTTCTATCAATCAACTTAATCCTAACTAGATCCTATTTAATTAGCAAGTAATTACTATTATTAAATATCGGCTAATTGGTTATATTGCATCACGAATTTTGGTGAAGAGGAAAAACAATCGCTAATTTTTTTGTTATTCTAATTTGAGTCTCAAACATTTTATTTATTTATTTGCAATTAAGTTCTTTTATCCAAGTAACCAAACTTATGTGACATTGGACACACGTGAGAGTTTTAATGACTCATGTGTTTGGGAGTATTTTTATTTTTATTTTTTCCAAAATATGTATAGTGTTTTTGTATGCATATGAAGCTGATCAATACACAAGAACTTAAATATAGATAAAAAATCGTTATGTAATTTATAACCAATTACCCTTAAATATCTTCTCTTTAATACAGCCTAACCCATTTATGATATAGCTCCTCATTTCTTGTCTATTATTTCTTTCCATTTTTTTTCTTTTTTTAATACACTCAAAATTCTGGTGTAATTATTTAATACAATGTGATTATCTTTGTGTTCATTCAAAGTTTATATTAGTAAAGTCTATATTTTATTTACCTTAACCACAATGTATAATTTTTTAAAATTAATTAAGGATTTTTCTTCCATAATAGTGACTTCTAAACCCCTAAAAAAACCCGTACTCCTTGCCAACTTTCCTACATCCTGTTCTTCTTGTCATCTCTCTGTTTTTTGCTCTGTTTTTCTCTGCTATGGCTCCCCCTAATAACCTTGCTAATCCCCTCTTTGACATTGGCAAACAGGAGAATTCAGAAAAACTCTTTGATTTGTCCAATGGGAACTTTAGTGTCAAAGGATTTCCTTTGCTCTCTGATGTTCCAAGTAATGTCACTTTCACTCCATTTTTGTCTATTTGCAAATCCTCTGATGCTCCACTTTCCCTGCTCCAACGTGTGCAAGCTCTGTCACATAAGGGAGGGTTTGTTGGGTTCAACAAAGAGGACGAGTCCGATCGGTTGCTGAACTCTCTGGGTAAGTTTACTGGGAGGGATTTTTTGTCCATCTTTAGATTTAAAACTTGGTGGTCTACCATGTGGGTGGGCAGTTCAGGTTCTGACCTGCAAATGGAAACTCAATGGCTTCTTTTTAATGTTCCTGAAATCATGTCTTATGTCATGATCATACCCATCATTGATGGTAGTTTTAGGTCTGCATTGCAAGCTGGGGTTGATGGTCATGTCATGATTTGTGCTGAGAGTGGTTCTACCAAGGTGAAAGCATCATCTTTTGATGCTATAGCTTATGTTCATGTGTCTGAAAATCCTTACGATATCATGAAAGAGGCTTTTAGTGCACTTAGGGTTCACCTCAATACCTTCAGGCTCTTTGAAGAGAAAACTGCACCTTCTCTAGTTGATAAATTTGGGTGGTGCACTTGGGATGCTTTTTATTTAACTGTAGAGCCTGCCGGTATATTGTGCGGTCTAAATAGTTTGGCTGAGGGTGGGATGTCTCCTAGGTTTCTCATCATTGACGATGGCTGGCAAAGCATTAATCTTGATGGTGAGAATCCCAACCAGGATTCTAAAAAACTTGTTCTCTGTGGAAGTCAAATGACTGCTAGGCTTCATAGGCTTGATGAATGTGAGAAGTTCAGGAAGTATAAGGGAGGTTCTTTGTTAGGTCCTAGCCCTCCTCCATTTGATCCAAAGAAACCTAAGATGCTAATCTCTAAGGCAGGTGAACTAGAGCGTGCCGAGAAGGATCTCAAGAAGGCAATCCAATCTGGTTCAGTAACTGACTTGTCTGCTTTTGAATCTAAAATTCAGAAGTTACAACAAGAATTGGAAGGCATGTTTGATGAAGAAGAAAACAGTGTTGATTCTAGCGATGCTTGCAAGGGTGACAGTTATGGCCTGAAGGCTTTAACGAGGGATTTGAGGACAAAGTTTAAGGGTTTGGATGACATATATGTGTGGCATGCTCTCTGTGGTGCCTGGTCTGGTGTTAGGCCAGGTTCTACTCATCTGAATGCAAACATCATGCCTTGCAAAGTGTCTCCTGGTCTTGATGGAACAATGGAAGATCTTGCCGTGGTTAAGACGGTTGAAGACGGTATCGGTCTTGTTCATCCTGACCAAGCTGGGGACTTCTATGACTCTATGCACTCCTACCTTGCCAATGTCGGCATCACAGGAGTCAAAGTGGATGTCATTCATGTAAGTTATTGTTTTTCTGTTTCATTATTTGGGTAGATTAGATATTCTAAATTGTTTTTGTTTCTAAATTTTGTCTGCAGACTCTTGAATATGTGTCTGAAGAATATGGAGGCCGTGTTGAACTTGCGAAGGCTTATTACAAGGGCCTGTCAGATTCATTGTCGAAGAATTTCAAAGGATCAGGACTTATCTCTAGCATGCAACAATGCAATGATTTCTTCTTTCTTGGAACAAAGCAGATATCCATGGGAAGAGCAGGTAAGTTTAATGGTCTTCACTTGTCAGAAAGTTCTTACATTCATTGCCTTGGTCTTACTTTTCAGACATTTTGTTACAGGTGATGATTTCTGGTTCCAGGATCCGAATGGTGATCCTATGGGAGTTTATTGGTTGCAAGGAGTCCATATGATCCATTGTTCTTACAACAGCATGTGGATGGGTCAGTTTATCCAACCAGATTGGGACATGTTCCAATCTGACCATCTTTGTGCCAAATTTCATGCTGGATCAAGAGCTATTTGTGGTGGACCTGTGTATATCAGTGACTCTCCAGGTTGCCACGATTTTGAACTCCTCAAGCAGCTTGTGTATCCTGATGGAACCATTCCCAAATGCCAGCATTTTGCCCTTCCCACCAGGGATTGCCTCTTCAAGAACCCTCTATTTGACAACAAAACAATCCTCAAGATTTGGAACTTCAACAAGGTATTCATTTACTTCCAATCTTTGATCAGTTTTTCTCATATTTAAACTCTGTACACTTCAATTTTATTTTTATTAAATTTTTTTTTTTTTTTTTTAAACTTGATTGAGGTTTTATACTCTTCGAGATTTTTTGTTACAATGCTACCAATCAGAGATAACATTTGGCATTGTAAAATAAGAAATATCAAAGAATACATATAACATGTCAATCACTGGTTAGTGATTTTATAAAGGAATGCCAGTTGCAAGAAATCTAAAAGAATAGAGCATCTCAATTAAAAAAACTTGAAAAATACATTGTCCAAATCTTGGAAAAACTCAATCTTTGAATAAAGATGAAATGAAATTGATTGATTCCCTTGCGATTTTTTTGCAGTATGGAGGAGTAATTGGAGTTTTCAACTGCCAAGGAGCTGGATGGGACCCCAGAGAGCAAAGAATCAAGGGCTACCCTGAGTGCTACAAGCCAATGTCAGTTTCTGTTCATGTTTCTGACATTGAATGGGACCAAAACAAAGAGGCTGCTCAAATGGGTGAGGCTGAAGAGTACATAGTCCATCTCAACCAGGCTGAAGATCAAGAACTCCTTCTTGTATCACCAAAATCTGCACCCATTGAAATCACCATCAATCCATCTACATTTGAGATCTTCAGCTTTGTCCCTGTCAAGAAACTAGGCAGCTCTGGCATCAAATTTGCTCCCATTGGACTGACCAACATGTTCAACAGTGGCGGCACCATTCAAGAAGTGGAGTACGTTGATCCAGAAGAATTTGAGACCTGTGTGAAGATTGAGGTTAAAGGTGGAGGTGATTTCTTATCCTACTCAAACGCATGTCCAATAAGGTGTTTCTTGAATGGAGCTGAGTCTGGTTTTCAATGGCTGGACAATGGCAAGCTGAGCTTGAATCTCCCTTGGACTGCAGAGGCTGCTGGCATATCTTCTGTCGCTTTTCTTTTTTGAATTTACTAGTGAGATTTTTATTTTTTAAAATCAATCTCACTAGTAAGAAGTATTTCATGAATTTGACCCCTTTTTTTCATATTAATTTATAAATGTTATAGCCTGGTTTATATATTGTGTTATTTTCAGAATTTCATCCCATTCTGTTAAGCTTTGAATTTATTTTTTTCTCTTTCTTCTTGTTTGATTGATAGGGACAAGTATATACATCTATAGTTGTCCGAGTCAATTATAAATTAGTCTCTTTAATTTTGAGAAACAAATTAATTAATCTCTTTTGCTTCAAAAACTATTTTTTTATTTTTTATTTTTTTATGAATTAATTTTTTTTTCAATTTATTTTGATTTTTTTGTTTTAAGAAATAACAAGAAATTAATAAAATATTGAATGACAAGATCAAAATTTGTTTCTAAAAAATAAAGAGATTAATTTATAATATACTTGTAGTTGCCTTAGTAATAGTATTTTTTTTCTTTTTGAGGGTGGAAAATGTTTTTTTGTTAATCCCAATAAACCAAAACGAATTTTTTATTACCAAATAAAAAAAATGATGCTTAATTTTTATAATATGTACTTGGATCGCTATGTATGAGAGCAAACAATTAAGAGGATTCGTAGCTTTTAATTAGTTGTCTAATTAATTAATTATAATTATGTAAAAATTAAGATACATGTATGCCGTCCTATTAACCAATATCCAAATATATACACAAACAACGTTAAGTTAACTAGTCATTTCTATTTCAAAAATTAATTATCGAAACAAGAGAGACTAATTAATTTGTTTTTCAACCAATAAGACTAATTTATAATTTATTTTGTAAAAAAATTCCAACACCTATATATTGCAAAGATTTCTCTTATACACTGAAACCACAGTCTGAAACCACAGTTGATGAACTTGGAGAGGGAAGTTACTAGGTTGGATTTTATGAAGAGACATGTCCTTCAAACCATGTTCAACTTTGAATTGATGTGTAAATTTTTCCTTCTATATATGAAGATTCATGAATGATCCGTCTCCATTGGAAAGAAATTATTTTCCATTAATGGAAGTCTAAATTATTGTCCAATTGAAGGATACCTATTCTTTGTATGTTGATATCAAGAACCGTGTGAATGGTTTAATTTAATCACATATATAATCCCATTTACATGTACTTGTTCTTCACAGATTCACAAGAAAAGCAAAGGATTTTCAGAATTATAGATTTTGATCAATCATGGGTAGCATTGGTAGTTCCTCACCACCCCATGTAGTGATTTTTCCATACATGGCTCAAGGCCACACTATTCCATTGACAGACTTGTCCAAGGCATTAGCCCAACGTAGCCTAAAAGTAACCATCATTACCACCCCAGCAAATGCTCCATTTATCCTTTCCAAAACCTCTATCCACCCAACAATCTCTTTGTCCATAATCCCTTTTCCAAAAGTTTCAGAATTGCCAGAAGGTTGTGAAAATGTTAACCATCTTCCTTCTCCAGATCTCATTTTACCTTTTTTGCACGCCATCAAACAACTCCAACAAGCTTTTGAAGATGTCCTTAAAGAGATGTGTAATTCAAGAAATGGCTGGCATCGGTTGTGCCCACAACTCCAGCAAGCTTTCAATCACATATGACAGATACACAGATGGAGGAGATTGCACTTGGATTGGAGAACGCAGGACAACCGTTCATTTGGGTGGTCAGATCAAGAACCTGGATCCCACCAGTTGGGTGGGAGGAAAGGGTCAAGGATAGAGGGTTGGACCAGCAGTTGGTGGGTTCTTGACTCACTGTGGTTGGAATTCGGTGCTGGAGGGCTTGTCCATGGGTGTGCCACTCTTGGGTTGGCCCATGGGAACAGAGCAAGGATTGAATGCTAGGTATGTGGCAATGGGGCTAAAAGCAGGGCTCATGGTCCTTCAAGAACAAGATAAATTCGATGCAAAAGATGACCCTATGGCTGTTCAACATAATGTGATTTGTGACGTTGTGAAGGAGTTGATGCAAGGTGACCAAGGGAGGAAGGCCAGGGAAAGGGCACAAGAGTTTGGGATAAAGGCAAGACAAGCTGTGGAAAAAGGTGGATCATCTGATAAGAAATTGGATGAACTAATTGAATCCCTCACTCCAAGACAAAACAATTCTAGGACTATATGAATTTACTTTATTGGTCCTTTTCAAGATTCAAGATAACATTGAATTCAGTATTTTATTAAAATTTAATTTAGAAACCATATTAACATAATTCTTGGGGTTAAAAATCTTAATCTAGCTTTATATAATAAAATAATATTTAATCTGTCTTTATATCATTTGTTGAGTCAATTTTATCTTTAAATATAATTTAAGTTTTTAATATATTATTTTATCAAAATTTTCATATCAAAACACCAGAATTATTCACATGATTTACGCAGACTAATTTTATTTTTATAATATCTTACAAACCAGTCAAATGCAAATTGTGTGATTGATTTTAATAATTTCACTTAAAAATTTTACGAGAATAATATATTAATTCAATTATTGATATAAGTACAAAATAAAAAATTGTCATATTATATGAAAACGGAATGAGCCGTTAAATTTAATTCTTGAACCAAAAACTTGTAACCGCCAGCATACAACTTTCCTACCAAACATACCATGTTATTATGTATAAGGAAAAGCAAACTTCACTTTCAATAGCAACTTGCCAGAAGTCCTCAACCACCAAGTGATACGTTTTCATTTGGCAGATGAACAAACGTATACAAGACAGAAGCTATAACTCAAAACGCTTGAATTGCAGGCAGATTTTCTAATACAGTTTCAAATGCAGGAAGAGACAGTAATCTATTGCATGAAGAATCTTATGGAAATGGGAAAAAAATAAAATAAGAGAATTTGACTGAAAATATTTGAGCTGATTTAAACAGTATCATGCAGCCGTAAGTGTCAATCGAAAATTATCTGTCACAATATCTTTTATTTTACCAATCAAGCGGTTGTGTTTTGTGCTGCCAGACATACTTAGCTTCGGCCGAAAAAGAGAGCTGAGCATGGTTTCCAAACCTTGCGCACTATATTTCACACGTCTGCTGGCACTAGCATCCGTTTCGGCTCGAAATCCATAGTTCTGCAAGTAGCTCCTATAAACAGGAACATAAGCTTGGACAACAAGTTTACACATCTTCAACCTCAAGTCTTCATTGGGAACAACCCAATTGGATTGCTTCTGGTACATGTGATCAAACTCCTCAATGAAGGACTTCAGTCTCTTCTTGGCCAAGTCTCCGACAAATCCACCAGTCGGAGAAGATGAAATTCGACTCTCTTGGCTAAGGAGAGCAAATGTTTTGCCCCAACTTTCTCTCAGGTAAAGAGTCATGTAATAGTCCCTATACTGTTCATGAGCTTTCAGCCAAGATTCTCCCATCAAATCTCCAAGCTTTGTGCCTTTCAAACTGCAAAAATGACAATGGTTGTTCATCATGAAAAGGTAGGACAATGTGAAATCATAGTGGGCCTTTGACCACACATCCAAGTTCAGACCAATCTGCTTTATTATGTAATAAATCTGGTTGGTGATAAGTTCTTCTTGGTACTTCTCTTGTTTCCAACTTTGTTGGATTGTCAGAATCTGAGTCAATAGTGGCAGATAATCATCCCCTAGTAGACGATTACAGTAATCAGTTACAAAGCTTACTAGCCTTGGAACACTGCCGTTTAGAGGAGGAGAACTTCGCCTTTGCAGCTCCACTTGGATCGGAAGTTCCCAGAAAATCTCACAAGCACCATTAACAACTCCCTTGATGAGATTCCTAGTCAGAGTCTGGATTTCAATGCATGCTGGCCCGCGAAAAAGTCTGTTGAAATCCACTCTCAGATTGTCCAAGATCGAAAAAATGTCCAATAGCTTTAAGAGCTTGAGCGGATCGTTCTTACACATTGTGATCTTCTTCCCAAAGTGGAGGAAAGAAAGAATTCCAGATTGCGTAATGATTTTTGCGAAGCAATCCATCCAAACTTCTGGTCCATTCTTCTCAAAAACGTCACTGCAGAGCTTGTATTCAATTTCAAAAATGTGCTTTACAGCAAACTCCAAATGCCTGCACCATTGATCTATGTAAAACTCTACATCTTGCACATCATCGAATTCGCTGATTGACTGGTCGAGGTAATTCAATTCAAGAGCTCGAAAGCTTCTCTCGGTAATCAGACTCCGAACTTCAACATAAGTCGACATACACTTCTCAAGCCTATTATCTGCATCTAGTCTGTCAATAATAGCCTGAAGCTTCTGTATAACAGCAACTGGCAAAGGAGATGAAGCAATGGAGGCTTCATTTCCAATGGAAGATGAGAAAATATCCATATCCAGAACAACATGAATGCAGTTCTCCATAAGAAGCTGCTTGAATTCGTTTTCGAGTTTGTCAAATGCAGCACAGATAATCCCCCCGCTGAGCCAAGCACGTTCCTCAGTAGCATGCAACTCTTGCAGAATGCCCAATGACTTCTTGACATTCAAGATGTACAGATCATCATGAACTGCATTATCTTCCAGAAACTCAAGAATAGCCTCCAGCCACTGAATTGCTAGGCCACAGTTGCCGGTCAGAAATTTCAATGATTCCTTAAGCTGCTTCACCATCAGCAGGTAAGTTGAGAGATCAGAACATGGGTGTGATAAAATTGACTTCTGGAGCCCTTGAATGGTATCATACACCTTCAGCACCGCTGCAGCAGGGCCAATTGCACGATCGATATGCTCTCTAATTGCAAAAAATGTGCTCTTTTTCCTCGGAACATGTCTAACAGCAACTTCCAAAGATGGTAATCTTTGTTTCATCCCCTCCAATCTTTGACCTGTACTGTCCAGGGCAGAGGCAAGAGCTTTTGAATTCTCTAAGCTAGACTTCAAGACTATCCTAGCAGCTACAAGATTGTCAATGTCATCCACTTTCGACATTGCCAAATCAAGCCCTGGTCACGAAATTCCAAGTGAAATGACTCAACTACTATTTCATTTGGTCTTTAAATCCTACACTGCATTCTTTCTTGATTTCTTGTCTGTCACTCGTTTTAAGTTTTCTTCACCAAACTCAACAAATCAGGTAAAAAAAAAAAAAAACGAACAAGGCTACCCATAGTCTAACCAAACCTCACTTGCAAAACAAACATCTCTCAGAAACCCCAACAACCAGGTAATGCAGAATTTATAGACTAATATGGACTTCCAAAATCAAAACAGAAAATAAACACTTGACGTTTAAGAACAGCAACTGAAGTTTCACTTTTGGACTTCAACTTAAAATGTAACACGACAAGAACGAAGTTTCTACTTTCTGTCAACAACTAAACAACCAAGCGTAAATCAAAAGAAACAACAACTCACCTGTTTAGAATCTCCATCGATGACATCAAGATATGCAGCGAAGGAATCCTCCATGAGCCTCTCTTTCGTTTCATGTGATGATGAACAATTCTGATGGGCATCCCCTAAGTCTGTTTTTTCCCCTTCTAATGTTCAAAAAATTATTTGTTTCGGTAAATTTAAGGTGTTTTTTTTTTCCCGCAACAAGGGCAAAGAAATCAAGAAAACAAGCACTTATGAACTCTCTTTTCTCAAAGAGGTTGAAGGTTCAGGAAAATGGCGATTCCTCCCTCACATCATCACCTTCATTTTGTGTTGTGGAGGACAATAAATCCTGCATTTGTAGAGGCCAAAGCTCAACAATCCTGTTTAAAAATTCAAGTCTGATCAATCATTAGTATTTTCTGGATCATGACAAAATATAATTGTATAAAAATCCAAAAAAATATTTAGAAAAAAAAAAACGCAAGGGAGAGGGATAATGTCAGTTGGAACTTTCCAGTTTCCATGTCTGTAATGCCATAATTAAGTCGCCATTGCCGCTTGCCAATCTTGTTTCATATCTTTTCTACACGTATCTATGTCACTTTTTCCATTACAAGTATTTGCTGCTTTCGTGCGAGTGCAAGCTTCTTCTCTTCTGTGTATGTTCATAAAGCTAGCACATAAATATTTATTTGTTCCTAACAATTTAAGGATATTGTTATTTTTCATTCTACAAAGCCACAAACAATTCCGTATTTCCCTAACAAACATCACTTTCATCATTCAACAAGCTAATATTATTTATAATAATTTATACCATATACAAAGTGATCTATCTATCAACTACTATCATAAAATTAAACGTCCCAAGAAAGAAAATTAGTAAAAAAAAAAAGGAACAAATTTGATGTTATATACATATATTTACAGATAATGAAATATTCTCGGATTAGTTTTTCAATCAATCGAGATCAAGTTTATCACTTTTTAGATAAAGCTAATGTTAAAATACGTTTAAATGTTGATCGACCATTGGACTCTCTCTTAAAATAAATAAGTTCAAACTTGATATCATTAGAGAATGACTATGGCTATTTATATGTGAGTAATGAAAACTGAACCAAATCAAGATAAAATTTGATGTTAATTCATCGATGGACATAAATGATATCGATAATCCTTATCAATTTGCTTTTTAATTTAATGTCAATAATTTGGCAACAAAATCTAATTACTTGTCTTAATTTGTGAAATACGAAGAGTAAAAAATATTGAAGGGAAGAGATCCCATTATGTATGAGGAAGATTATTTTACATACTGAAGTTATAATGAAAATCCGTTCTTAAACTGAACTTTATTGAAAATTGGCACGCGAATGACTTGGACTTATTAGTAATAAATACATAACTACAGTACTACACTGTGAATCTTCTATTTTGTTCAACAATATTGATCTAAGAATATATTTGTCAAGAATTCATCCAGAAAGAAGCAAAAGGGTACGAAAGTCAATCAATTTTTTTAAAGAATTATATATATAATTTAATTTTTTTCTATTTTTCCTAAAAGTTGCCAAATTTAAGCCCAGACTTGCATCAAATCGACTTACGATGTATTTTACCCAAATTCTTTCTTTTCTCCCTCTCTTTTTCTGCATGTCTCACCCTCCCCCTTGTATTTTACCTCCAGCAGTGCAACTCATCCAAGATCCTACTACTTCTTCATAGACAACAAGCCCAAATTCAAGGGAGTGGCTCAAATCCATAATGCCCCAAATTTACAAAACATGCCCTAATGGCTTTAGAAGGGCTTAATTGGGATCCACAAATGTGGAGGGACCATCCCAACAACATTGAGTAGTACTGAGAGCTTCGGTTAAAAAAAAAAAAAAAGCCTCCAACTCCTCAGATAAGTCACCAACGTCGTGGAATAATTCAAACTCCATCATCTATGATCTGATTCAACAAGAGAGGATTTCTTTGACCTATCCATAAGGGTGATCATCCGGTTAAATGGTTCGGTTTTGTACGATTCGGTTCGATTTTCGGTTAATCAAATTAAGAAAAATAAAAACCAAAACTGAACCGAAATAAATTCGGTAAATTCGGTTTGTAACCAAATTATTTCAGTTTGGTTCGAAATATTTTGGTTTTAACCGAAATATTTTGCTGTAAAAAAAAATCATTACGAGAGAGATGTTTTGTACTAGCACTTAGTCCACTAGCCAATGAAGTAACATCTTGTTATCAATTAATCCTTTTTATAGACAATCATAAAGCCCTTGAAGATTTTAATTAGTTTTTAATGAAAACCAGTCCAAGTATAATTGATTTTGTCATTTAAACACACAGTATCTCAATTAATTACACTCTGTCACTTTCTTTACTTACCCTAACGGTCCTCAAAATGTACTTCTCATCTACTTGTTTCAGTTTTAGCAAGAATGAAGATTGAAAAGTTAGAGATTTAGAAATTATAAATTTTTTTACTATTTATTTTGGTTTTCGATCGAAAGAGAAATTTTTTTCTAAAAACCGAACCAAACCGAAATAATTTTGGTTTTTTCGATTCGGTTTTATATTGTATAATTTTACATTTAAAACCGAATCAAATTTCATAATTCGATTTGGTTTTATTCGATTTTCGATTAACTAAACTGTTTGCTCACCCCTACCTATCCATTTCAAAGAAAACATTCTTCAAGCATAATGGTTATGCAGTTTGGTTTTGAAAGAAATAATCATCTTCAATTTCTTCTACTGCGATCAAAAATTCATCCAGAAAGAAGAAAAAGGATACGACAGTCAATCAACTTTTTTAAAGAGTTATATATATATATATAATTTTTTTACCTAAAAGTTGCCAAATTTAAGCCCAAACTTGCATCAAATTGATTACAATGTATTTTACCTAAATTCTTTCTTTTCTCCCTCTCTGTTTCTGCAAGTCCCTCCCCCTTGTCTTTTACCTGCCGCAGTGCAGCTCATCATTGATCCTACTACTTTTTCATAGACAGGTAAGACAACAAGCCCAAATTGACTATGGTGGACCGAATCCATAATGCCCCATATTTACAAAACATACCCCTAATGTCATTCAAAGGGCTTGGGATCCACAAATGTGGAGAGGCCATCCCAACAACGTTGTGTAGTACCATGTCCATTTCTTCTCAATACTATTGGATTGGATTGAGAGCTTCTGTAGAAAAAGCCTCCAACTCCTCAGAGAAGTCACCCACGTTGTGGAATAACTCAAACTCCATCCTCTGTGATCTGATTCAACAAGAGAGGATTTCTTTGACCTATCCATTTCAATGTAAAACGTTCTTAAAGCATAAGAATTATGTAGTTTGGTTTTGGAGGAAATAATCATCTTCAGTTTCTTCTACTGCGATCATAGATTGAGATTTTGAGTTCAAAAGATATGTTTAACTACATGCCAACTATATGAAATGAAGATAAAATAAAAGCTAAAAGAAGGAATAAAGAATAAGCAATATACCTTCAGAATAAGCAGGCTAGACAAAGTTTGTTGTATTGTCAAAATTAAATCCATCTTTGATATGTCAAAGTACAACTAGAAGTCCTACTTCTTCTCTCTTTTTGCACAATAAAAAATCAGAATATGAATAATCAATCACACATAAACAAGCAAGATTTTTTTACGTGGAAAACCTCCAAAATGGAGGAAAAAACCACGGGACCGTAGTCCATTCAAACTCATCCACTGTATCAATGAAATTACAATGTAAGGTCTGCTCTTGATAACTAGAGCCTGCTACGTCTATAAACAGATGATGGAATCAATTTCCTTGGCTCACAATACAAATATCATCACCAACAAGGTGGATTACAAGAAATACCAGCTAGTGAGATCTCACCAAAGGGCCGGGTTGATCAACAGCCAAGATCAAGCAAGTGGAGGGGAAGATAACCATAATCAAGACCAATGAAATCAAAGCTTGCACAGTCAGAAACAACTTATTGAAATTACCCCTAGCAGACACCAAGCCGCTCTTCGAATTGAAATGAACCCCAGTTTCTCTCTTGGCAACGTCAGTCTCTACCGTGTATGCTGTCCTGCTGACTAACAACGTGGTATGGTATTGAGTTGATGCCTCTGTATGCTCCATTTCACCAACAGACCCATTCAAGTGTTGGATAGAGTTCAGAGCTTCAACAGGGAAAGCCTCAATCATCAAACAAGCCACTAGCTGCCAGTTCCTTCAATGACAAGAAAAAATATTATCAATTACAATCATAGAGAACTTTATGATAACAGATAAAACAAATCGATTATTTCTTCAACTAGTAGAGATCCATCATTAATACCATATCATATGCCATAGACTTCTGCACTTAACTGGCGATGATGATATGTCTCTAGTGTCACATCATCCTACAACAATATGGGATCCGCAATAACAGGTAAAACTCGTTTAAAATTTTCATTTCAATTAATCATGCTTGATGACAACCTTATTGATTTTCTATTTTAGATGTAAAGGAAATAGTAATATTCAATACCAGATGTAAACATTGCATTTGCAAGGTTAGTGAGCGTAATTCTCCACAAATGAATCAATAACTTAAATTTTGGAATTCAACTTTGTCAAGTCTATTTCACTCTATTGTCTCCAACTGAGGAAAGATTATCCAGAGGAAAAAAATATTCATACTTAAAATCCTGCTTTAGTTCTGTAATCTCAATAGAAATTCTGCTCTACTTTTGGTTTCTACAGTCAACATCCCATATATGATTTGTTGATCATACTTACCATGCGCTGCTGCGTGCGGTTACTTTTACAGGGAATGGGAAGGGAGGGTTGACAAGCCCATCCATCTACAATACCAAGGTTGAACAGGGTCAGCTGCATTTTCTGCTACAAAGAGGGGATCTTTTCCTCCTTCCCTTGAATGCATTTTTGGAAACTACCAGTATATACACCACCCGGTTAGTAAATTGAATCCCTAGCACTGCTGCAATTTCTCAAAGAAGCGGCAACAAGACCTGAACACCAATGAGTAGAGAAACAGATTACCATCAACAATATGATTTTATTTCACTTCCCAAACCAAAAAAGGTACAACAGCTGAAGATGAAAACCAAGGTCAGCTTACAAAGGGAAAAATAATCATTCCTGAATCTTCCACTCCTAGAAGACGATCTGCTCCTTCTCGTTCCTTGAATGCCCCGTCAGAAGCCCAATAAAAACAGTTTTTGCAACGTCCCAATTGGTTAATGGAATCCCCAGCTTAGCAGCAATCTTTGAGACAGAAAGATCGCCATAGCAATGAGTAGAGAATCATACTACTATCAAGTAACTAGATAAGAAACGTTGGCTAATGAAGGGGAAAAAGAACAATTTCTGTATGCTTGCAAAAAGGCTTACAAAATATCAAATGCAATTACAGCTAGCATTCTGAATTGCCTTCTCAGAATATCCTGGAGGACCTGGAAAAATGAAACAGAAGCTAAGAGAAGGAAAAAAGAATACTAGATGAAGCATATAAGAAAATTCATCAAGAACTGTTAATGCAATCATCTTGCATCTTGCACTCACAGTACATTGATTTCGCATATGAAGACCCCCCACCAGTACTCCTTGTTAGGTTCCATAAAATATCATTTTATCAGAAATTACTTCATTAGTATTCATATTATTATGCTGTCAAGTACTGATTATATTGAGGTATAAAATAAAATTGGAAAGACTTTTATAGTTGATTGAAGGAAGTTTCTAGGTGCATATATACCTCATAGAGTATTATTATCTTAAAGGACCATCTTCGACCATTTGCTCCACTAGCAGCTCAAAAATGAATAGTGTAACCTTATTGAAAGAATGGACCACCGCTGTTATTAGCAACAGAATTGTAGAGTTCAATAACTGCTAGAGCTAATCCTCATCTTCAAATGTATGAGTCCCATAAAGCCCAACGGAATTTGTAAAAGCTGAAGCATTTCCTTAGAATGTCAGAGCAATGCACAAATTGAAGGCGAATCAAAATTTACTAGAGTGACTGTCACATGTTTCTCAATCAAATGGCAATTTACTAGAGTGACTGTCACATGTTTCTTGATCAAATGGCTGCAGCCTGCTTCTAAGGCTTCAAATCAGGAACAAAATCATTGTCGATCGGTTACAGAGGAGGATGATATTTAAAGAGCTGAGGTATCAGCAGGTGCTTTATCCTCTGACAAACAATCTACTATGCTTCTTGAAGTGTATTGGAATATTACGTTCTTCTTGTCGAGTAACTCTTGTTTGGTTGACCAAACTAGGAAGTATGTTTCTCCTGAAAATTTAGTAACAGTAAATTAAATGCAAAATCCGCATAATTATGGAGAGTGTGGACTTTAATAGAAAGAGGTAAATACCTAGCAGACAACTTTATATGAGAGGAAATTTTTAGGGAAAGGATGAAGAGGGGAGAAAAGCATTGGTGTGTAGAGATGAACTTGTTTGCATGGAGGATTCCGCTGTTACAGGTTTTAACACGGCGGCTGTAGAACCACGGAGTCCTTGTCTTAGCTATGCTGAAAGTTCATCCATCATCTCTGTTACAAAAAACACAAGAAGAGCTCTTCTTAGTCAATTCATAGCTAAGTTTTCTTTCATAAAATCGTCACATTGGACTCAAATAACAGATGATTTTCTTGGGAAATCAACTGTGTACAAAATTTTGCAGAAAATCTGTCCCTTGGAATTTTTTCAACCTAATCTACAACTTAACTAGATGGAAAAGTACTCAAGAAACATCAATTTTCAATCCAATTTTCACTGCTGTACCTAATCTGATTTTCAATCATCAATAGGACCATGTCAATGATACACTAGAACAAGCAACATCAACTTGAAAAGCACTCTTGAAAAATCTTATAATTGTATGAGAGAAAGTTAGCTTGACAAAAATTCTACGGTTAAATTTAGAAAAAAATCAATTGACAAGACGAGTTCAAGTTATAAACTTAGGTGAGATACACAGAGCATGCAATTATCAACTTTTTAAGGAAAAAATCAATAAATAAATAAAATTTCCAAACTCCGACTACTAAACTTCTTCTAATTCTTCAACTTCACAGTGGAAAAAGGATATATTTGATCTTAGGAGTACAAAATTCGCTGCACCTTATAAAACCCAATATTGGTACAGTTGCTTCTATCTCAATTCTTAAAGACTATTGAAATTAAGCCAAACAAGTATATTATACGGCTATCAGATAAAAGAAACGAATTGCAAATGAACATATCTTGTCTAGATTCAAGTTTCCTAAAAAATGGTGTAAATCAATCAAAATCAAAGGAAAAGTGAGGCAATTAAATTTATTAATTAGAGAAAATAATTGAAAGATTTGAGAAATTCAAACTTACTTGGTTTTGTATAGTTGTGCAACGTAATTTGATTCTTGGGATATTCATAATCTTGGGCCACTCAGAGCCACTCCCCTTGGCGCAATTTTCCTCAAGTAATGGGCAGTTGAAGATCCACAAGTCCCTTAAATTGGAATTGGAGAGGCTTTGCATGGCTGTTGAACTTGCAACATACTTGAGATTCTTACAATCCCACATATGAAGGGATTCAAGAGAAGAAAGGTTGCCCAACCAATCTGGCAAAGCTTCCTCTAAGTCCTCCCCGTTGAATCCCTCAACAGTCAAAATCTTAAGGGAAGTGAGGTGTTGAAGTTGATGTGGTATACTCTTCAGTTTATCCCATCCATGTATCGTTAGCACTTCCAGGTATCTACTCCCACTCAAGTAGTGCTGGATTGGACTCATAATTCCAACAGGAAATTCCTCCAACTCCTCTGAGAATCTACCAATTGTCAAATCTTCCAATCTTGTGAGGCCGAGAAAGAAATTCTCTGGAAAATCACTCAAAATGGGGCAGTCTGTGATAGATAATGATCGAAGACAAGAAGAAAGCGGTGGCAATTGGAAGATAAGCTCGTTGTTGCAATCTGTTATTTTCAATCTCTCCAGATAAGATGAGCACGATAGTAGCCCACTAATTGCAAGACTATTGCTCGTTAATTTTGGACAAAAGTTAATGCTCAAACTTCTAAGAGATTGCAATTCTCGGAAATAACCACCTCTATTATTAGGAGGAGTATCATTACATATCATCAACTCCCTGCAGCTATCAATAGACAATTTCTCCAGAGCTGTGCAGCGTTGTATGCTTGGAATAGATGCTAGATTTCCACAATCATATATAGCTAAATATTTAAGAGATGGCGGGACGGCATCAAATTCATCACGATCATTGATAAGCAAATTTACAGGTTTTGATGAAAGACGAGCCATCGATGGAATGCTTTTCAATTTAGGACAGCGGGAAATGTTCAACCTTTCAAGGCAAGGAGATACTACTAGTGGTTGTACGCCATAAGTTGTAGCAGCTGGCACCATCCACTGCTCTAGACTCTCCATATCTTTTAGATAGAATTTTTTTAATGCTGGAAAAAGTGGAACTGACATTCCACTATTGCTACTATAAAACTCATTCCCTATACAACTTACACTACCCATTCCTCTTATCACAAGATCTTCAAGACAAGGAAGGTGTCCAAGTGAAGGAAGTTGTTTACACTCTCTGCAGTCTTCCAATTTCAGCATCACCAAATTATGGAGTGCTGGCATCAGCAACCACGGTGGGAATTTTTCACCAAAATAGTTCTTAATCTTTAAGAATCTTGTACCTGGGTGAGCCTGGAGCCCTTCCAACACATCCTCGTCATTCATGTTGCTGGTGTTGCTTTCTCTTCTTCTACTCCATTCCAATTCCAGATTGGATATCTTTGCTTTACTAAGCAAGTCTGATCCCTCGGCCTCTTTTTTGTCTCTCACATGCTCCAAACCGGCTATTCTCAACTCCCCTCTTAATTCCTTCAAGCTTCCCAACTCTTCAATTTTATGGCCCAGAGCTGGACCCACAACAAAAAACGGCAACGTTTGAAGATTGGTTAAGCACCCCACATGCGCTGGCATCTGGCAATCTTTAATTAGATAAAGATGTCTTAAGCTCACCAAATTTCTCATGTTTTTAGGAAGCTTCTCGAGTGTCCAGTGAAATCTTAAGGTTTGCAAATGGTAGAGCTTCGTGATGGATTCCGGAAGCGCTTTGACACCAGTTTGTGAGATGTCCAAATATCTCAAATGTTTCAGCCTACAAATTGAATCTGGCAACTCTTTGACATCATAATCACCATGCCAGATTAGAGTTTGCAAGCGTTTGAGTTTTATGGAATTGTTGTGGAAGACATTGACACTCGAGAATAAAGAACGCAATTTCTTAGCAACACCTGGCAGACGTGTCAGCTCATCATCCCTGTAAGATAGGAGATTTAGATGACGGATACGACATTTGTCATCTAAAACTGAACCTGCGTTCAAAATCAGTGTTTCTGATTTCGAAACAGATAGTGCAAGATCATGCATAAGATCATGCATCTTGCAACCTGTTACATTCCTATACTCATCCCTTTCCACATCTTGAAAAAAGGAATGTTCAAGCAAGTAGTCGAAATAGTCGTCACCTTTATCTTCCATCCCTCCATTAGACGGCCCAAGTAACCCTTCAGCCATCCAAAGCTGGATCAATTCATCCTTTTGAATGTCAAAATCTTTAGGAAAGATAGAACAATATGCAAAGCACCGTTTCAAAGGCTGTAAAGGTAACTGATCAAAACTCAACTTCAATATATCCAAAGTTCTTCTATTTTCCTCCAATTCCAAAACATTAATCCTATCTCTAATCGACAACCAATTCTTTTCCTCCAAATCCAAGCTCATAGTCCCACCTAAAACTATTGCTGCTAATGGCACTCCTCCACATTTCTTCGCTATCTCCTCTCCAATAGCCTTCAAATTTCCTCCTATCTGTTTTCGTCCATCTGCAGTCACTTTTTTCTCTATAATGGACCAACTCTCATCATCTGATAATTTCTTTAGTTCATGCCTATGCCCAATTGAAGTTTTCATTATGGATAATGCTACAATCCCACTACGAGTTGTTACAACAACCGCATTTCCATTTTTGGCATTAATTTTCAACAGGCGATCCTTTAAACTACTCCATTTCCCTTGCTCCTCATTCCACACATCATCAAGTACCAGAAGAAATGTTTTCCCTTTCAACTCTTCTCGAAGATGTCTAAGCAATGCATCTATTTCGTTCATCCCGCCTGTGTTTTGATTGAGATTTTGCAACATTTTTCCTAAAATCATTTCATCTTCAAAATTCTCAGACACACAAACCCATATTACTTTATCAAACAACTTTTTCTCTTCTACTACTTGACACACCTTTTTGGCTAAAGTTGTCTTTCCTAGACCAGCCATACCGACTATGGTGATAACAGAGAGATCTCGATCGCGAGTGGAGTCTGAACTACTCAGCAAGTTCATAACTTTGGTGAGATCATCTTCCCTTCCGATTACAATTTCTGACTTGCCAAGGAAGGAGTCTGTCTTACGGTCCAGGCTAAGTTGGAGAGGAGCTCTGACTGCAGCTGGTACCAGTTTTAGAAACTCTGCCTGATTTCTAATTTCAACCAGTGATTCGTTGATCTTCTTAACTCTTAGAGCCATGTTCACACGGAAAGCAACAGGGTTGGTGCTTGAAAAGAAGTCGCGTACCTTTTCTTTCAGCTGGTTTTTGATCTCTACCTTCCGGCGGAGCATCTCATAAGCAAACTCGTCTAATGCAGCTTCAGCATCGTAAGCAATATCTTGAAGGCTCTCCAGCCACTGCCTCACGGACTCCTCAGTTGCTTGCTTCTGCTCAGCATCATGCAACACATTCTGAATCATGTTCAATGATTTCTCCAACCGCTTAAGCTCTCCTTTGAATCCCCAGACAAGACTGATCCCTTCATTGGCAAGCGAACTCACCATGCTCACCATCTTCTCAACAGCAACGCTAACAACAACCTCGTCCATTTTGCTTTCGTAGGTACCTTAACAAGAAAACACAAGCAAGCTTTAGACGATTTAGAATTAATGGTTTTAACAATTCGAGTATTAGATTAAAAAAAAAAAAACTCTGGTCCATTTTGTAGCGCTAGCTTGAGATTTTTGTTAAAGTTTAAATTTGTGCCACAAAAGTGCAATTATCTATATTTTCCGTGATTAAAAAATACTACTGATTCCATAACTAGAAATGTCAGTTTATGATTTAAAAATAGTAAGTGGAGTATCATCAGAAATGTTACTTGTTATCTTTTCTACATTTATCCATGTCATTTTTTCCGCTCCAAGTACTTGCTTTTGCGCAAGTACAAGCTTCTTCTCTTCTGTGGATGTTCGTAAAGCTAACACATAAATATTTATTTTTGACTCAACCGTACAAATCTGTTTCGAATTTTAAGTTATTTGAAAATCAATTTTTCAACTTCAAGTTTTAGTTAAACCTTCATCTGATAATTTTTATTTAAAATTACATATTTTTGTTAGATTTTCATCATTTATAACAGTAAAAACATACGTCATTTGTATATAATTAACTTCTTAACTTTCTCAATAGCTAAAAATATGTCAAAACTTCATGCTTGTTTAATAAGCTAAATTTAACAATGAACCAGAATTTAATCAGTTTCAGTTTCATCATAGGTCCATGATTGCTTTCAAAATCCTAAGGAAAGTTTCTCCAATTTATTTAGCAGTGTTTAGACAGTAAATTATAAATTAATCTTTCTAGTTTCAAAAAAACAAATTAACTAATTTTTTATTTAAAATCTAATTATTATTTTTTAACCAGTATTGAAGACATAATTTAATATTAATTTATTTAAAAATGTTTTTTCTCTTCAATTTCTCCGTAATATTTATTTATTTATTTAAATAAAATAAATTAGAAAAAACATAAAATAGATAAAAAAAACTAAATTATTAGTTTTTAAAATAAAATAAATTAATTAATTCGATTCTCAAAACTAAAACTAATTTATAATTTACTCGTGTTATAAAAACAAAAGACTTCCTAAAGTAACTTAACTTTGAAAAAAAAAATGAGGAGGAGTAGGTTTTCGGTCTTTCAGTCTCTTGGATTAGAAAATTCTTGATGGAGAAATCTAGTGAATTTACTTTTGAATGTCCATGAAAACATTTAAGTGTCACATGGAAGTGTTTTTTTTTTTTTCCCCCTCATCATTATTATGGAGGAACTTGTCATCTTGTTTTTCAAGCAAAATGTTATGATTTTTCTACGTGAATTGAATTTCATTGTTTTAAAGATAGTGATACATGGATCATTTTTAAAATTTTAGTAAAATTTACAAAATAATATTTGGAATAATAAAAGGTGACATGATGGATAGACTAAAAGATTTATCTATAATGATTTTTAATAATTCGAGTATGAGATAAGAAATAAAAAAAATAAAAATCCAGTCCAATTTGTAATGCTAGCTTGAGAGTTTTTGTTACAGTTTAGATTTGTGCTAAAAGTGTGCAATTATCTATATTTTACTTGATTAAAAAAATAATACTTTTTTATTTTTTTTGGATCGAAGAAATGTTAGTTGAAAAAGGTCTTGAAAAATTGTATGACCGTAGAGCCATTGACCAACACAGGGAAGAGGTTGAACGGCCTTGTTCTTTCCACACCCAGATTTATTCCAACTTAACTTTTTAATAAAACACTCAAACATAACTAAACTTATGAATATAAAAATTATCAAGTTAACATTAAAAAAAAAAATCCCACCTTCCTAACTATTCAAATTTATTCTAATTAGAATGAGAATCTATTTTTTTTTTAAGAATAGGATTCATACAAGGAAGCCATTTCTTTTGTCTTATCCAATCCAATAACACCCATGTTAAGGACAATGATTCAATTGTTTATATATATATATATATATATATATATATATATATATATATATTTCAAGTCATTTGGGAATTTGATTTTTAAATTTTGATTTTTTAATTAATTTTATTTAAAATTGGATTTTTATGTTAAAATTTTATCAATTATAAAATATAAATGTAATTTTTCAGCAATTGAAAACCCATCAAAACTTAGAAATGCTTTGTTTTACTACTTAAATGCTAAGAAGTAAATAATTAAAAAATATTTTAAGAAAAAAAATAAGTTTTAGAAGAAAAAACAAAATATCGATAACTTTTGACGTATTTTAAAAGATTTGGACCATTAACCCTTTTTAATTCTGTCTAACATACAAATCACGTCTCCATCGTTACACAGTATCTTTCATTCAGCATGCATTACGAGTTTCATTCTTTATAAAATGAAAAATGGTTGTGTTCCAGAATCCAAGTTAATTAAAAAAAAATCTGAAAAGTGACCAATTTTAAATAATAAGAATAACTTAATTCGATATTTAAGTTAATTTTAAAATCTGAAAATATGAGGGGCTAAAAATATCTTTGAAATAATGAAGGAGCAAAATTGAATAAAGTGAAAAATACAAGGTTGCAAAAAAAATTTTTAAAAATAAGGGATTGAAAATATTTTTTAGAAATATTAAGGATCAAAAGAAATATAATGTATAATTTGCATAAGAATGCTCAAAATTAACTGGGAGTACAAAAATACCACCATAAGAATGATCAAAACTACCACTCAATGAGCGGTGAATAAATAGTAATTTGTGAGAGAATAAATAGTAATTACTATTTATTTTCTTCATTTTTGTTAGCCGTTTTGTTAATGATTTTTAATAATTCGAGTGTTAGATTAAAAAGAAAAAAACCCTGATCCATTTTGTTGAAGTTTAAGTTTGTGCTAAAAAAATGCAATTATCTATATTTTACATGATTAAAAAAAATATATAATTCCCATATCTAGAAATGTCAGTTTATGACTAAAAAATAATAATTGGAGCATAGAAATGTCTCTGTTTTCATCACAAGCATTTGCTAAATCTATTTCGAATTTTAAGTTATATAAGAATTAGTTTCTCAACTTCTAGTTAAATTTTCTTCAATTCTAACAGTAAAAATATACCTGAGTTATATATAATAGATTTTTTAATTTTTTATTCATTAAAAATATACCAAAACTTTACCTTCAAACTTTTTTAATAGGTTAAATATAAATTTACAAGTTAAAGATATCAAAAAGATTATTAAAAGAAGAAGAAGTCAAAACGAAATCTTCAATAGGGCCTTTTATTTGCAAGAATCAAACAATAAGTATATAAAACAGCATGCTAAAAAAAAAAGAGAAAAATAAAGAATACGGAGTACCTGTGTCTGCAAGATATTTTCCAACTACGTACTGGTTTTGCTGAAATCAGAAATGGAAATAGAAAGAAGAGAGAGACTGGATTAGAAAATGGAGGCGGAGAAATCTGGTAGAGCCGTAGAGGATGGGAAATCTGGTATTAGCAATGAGAGATGGGGAAGAGATTGTTATAGAAGATACCTTATAATTGAAATGATGGGGAAGATATGAGGAATCTCAATAATGTAGTTCCACTTTATTCTACCATCCAAGAAGATGCTGTGTTTTTTCCTTCTTTTTTATTTTTGAGTAAATTATAAATTAGTCCCTTTAGTTTTTCAAATTGAATTAAATAGTTCTTTTAGTCTCAAAAAAAAATAATTAATTCATATATTTTTAAATCTATTTTTAATCTCCTTCATTCTTTTTTAATTTATTTTAATTTTTTTTATTTTAAGAAATAAGAAATAAAAAAATAAGTGAAAAATATGCGAGGATCGATGAAAAAAGATATTGTTGAAATAAAATAACATTACATTAATGTTAATCAATGCTACTCAGCAAAACTAATTAATTAATTTCTTAAACAAAAAAATTAATTTTTTTTCTCTTTCTTATCCTCAATATCTCCTGTTATAACTCTCCAATTTCTATTTCTGTTGAACAGTCCATATATAATCCTTCTAAACACTGATGAAGAGCAATTCCTACTTTAATGCAACACAAAAATTTGATGTCTCATGTCCAAAAAAATATTAAATTTCTTAGCATTTAACATTTTCTAGGAAAACAAACAAACATGAATATTTTTGGCATTCAAAAGAAATGGATGGGCCCACGTGGAGGACCCCTAGGAAAAGAAACGAAGAAAGTTATGAAAAGAAAAAAATTTGAGTATGAATGCTAGGTGTAAAGGTGTAAAGGCGAAGCAGATGACATAAAAACGATCAGAGTGGGTGCGTTGGATTCTTATCATGTTCGATGCTTTCCTTTACAGCTAGCAATAATTCACCCCTTACCTGGAAGCCACCGTGTAAGACTAGGCGTAAGGAGTCAATTTCGTGCTTTACTGTTAACTCTATTTGTCGTCTATGGAATGTTTGATACAATTCCTCACTGATTTTTTCCAGTGAATTCCTTTTAGATGTGAGGATGACAACTTATTCATCCCCAACTTCCACGAAACTTATCCTCAATAATATTGCTTATAAGGTTATTTACATGCCTTGATTCATTGCGAGAAGAATATCCCTACTCAGAAAAAAAATAGCCATTAAACTTCACTCCTCTCTGCTCTTCAGCCAAGGTACCTTTCCAATTTCGAATTTATAATTAATTAATTAATTTTTTAAAAATGAAATGAGAAAAATGAGTTAAATCAATTTATATTAGTAAAGTATTTAATTTTAGTTAATGAGTCTATCAAAAATAACTAAATAGAGTAACTATTTTTTTTTGTTTTAATATTTTAAATGATTAAAAAATCTAGGCTTAAAATAAAAATTAATTAACACTAATTGTGAGAATTAATTTAATTTAATTTATATTATGCAAATTATTTTGAGTAAATAATAAATAATGAAAAAGAAGGTATAAAAAAAGGGAAAAAAGGCTGGGCTGGGTTAACTTCAGGTTCTTCTGTATTGGGCCTGGTGACCAGGCCCAAGTATCTGGGCTGGAAGCACAGCCCACCAATAAAAACACAGGGACCTAGCTGAAATAAATATTAATTTAAGAGACCGGTTTGCATAACATTTTAACTTGAAGGACCACAATGTACAAAAGTGGATAAATTATGAAAAAAATCCCTTATTATTTTGAAAAACCGCGTCATTTCAAGGGAAAAAAAATTCAAACTGACGCCGTTTTGGTTCACTTTAACGAGTTTTAATTACAATAAGATCATATCCTCTTTTAGATTATTTATAATGTTTCGTATGTTTTTTCCACGTACATAGACAAGAAGCATGCATTCATTTTCCAGGAAATTTGATAATAATACTAATAGTGTTTGACACGATATACCAACTTTTTTTAGTACTAATAGAGCTTGAACAGTAGTAATAATACTCTAGTATTAATAATAATATATATTTTTAAAAAAATAATACAACCACCAGCAGAAAATAACAAGTAAACAAAATAATGGTGATAGAATAATAATAATAAATAATAATTTTTTTTTATTGGTATATCAAATTGAAGTACTAGTATCGAGGTACCGATGCCGATGTTAATGGTTGTAACGAAGATGATATAATAGAAAATAATTAATATATAATAAATAAAACTATATATTATTTTTTTAATTTTTATTCTTACATTTCATATAAAATACAATAATGTTTAATTTTCATTTATCATTCTCATTCTTAATTTATTTCTTTCAACCAAATGCTTATAAAATGAAAATAAAATTTTTATCCTTATTTCTTTTATTTTTTATTTTTTATCAAACAACACCCAAACGCTTGAACCGAGAGAGAGAGAGAGTGCAAGAAGGCTTTAACAAAATGCATAATTAAAAAGAAAAAAAACTAACAGAAATTAAAAATGAACAACAAAACTAGACAACAAACATGCTTTCTTCCCACTAAAATAAACAGTTTGGGGCCGCTAATGAAAGAAAATCACAAATATGACTCAACTGCCATCCACACACATATACATAGATTTGTAGTCCTTTATCTTTAGTAAAAGTTCATCAAAAACAATTCAATGAAAATAAATTTAGTAATAATTGAACTACTAGTGGCTTAATCAATTAAGTTTTGATATCATATAAAAAATAATTCAATTCAAAAATTTAAACTAATGTTACGGTGAGAAACTAAAATTGATTTTATTATACTTATTAATAGAGTATATGATAAAATATATACTTAAAAGGTAGTTTTAAGGTTAAAATGACAGCAAAAATAAAATAAATATAACGATCAAGATAAGTAACAAATTTAGTTGGTTAAATAAAATAAATAAAACAAGTTGGTGAAGCAAACGAATGAAGTATTTTCAATTAAAATCAACTTTCAAATTCTTTCTTTTCTCCCTCTCTTTCTCGGCAATTGTCGCTCTTATGTCACTTGTATTTGGCCTGCGGCAGACCCTCGTTCCTTGCATATACATGTCAGACAACAATTCAAAATTAACTTTAGAGGGATCAATCAATGGCCCAATATTCCAACACATAAACCAATGCTTTTGAGTCTAAGTCAAGGGATTGGGCTCCACCAAATGTGGAGTGAGCCGCTCAACAATGTGCTGGATTGATTTGAACCCGCCTGCAGGAAAAGCCTCCAACTCCTCTTACAAAGCCACCAGATTCCGATTTCCGATTTCTTCAATCAAGATGAGGCAGCAAAAGAATTCCTGAGAGTGCTAAGCCAATGCCTGGAAATGTCTAATTCAACAAGAGAGGATTTCTTTCACCAGGACGACTTTCAGAGTAGGTGATGCAACCTTATTTATTGATAGAATGACACCAAAAACATTAGGCTTTAATTTGGGAATTTTACTATATATGTCAAAGTCTATTTCATGGCATTGTCTCCAACCCAGGGAAGATTATGCCTAAGATTCCGATTTCTGTCACTTTTTCCGTTAGAAGTATTTGCTTTCGTGCAAGTGCAAGCTTCCTCTCTTTTGTGTATATTTGTAAAGCGAGATTATAAATATTTATTTTGATTAAATGGTACAAACCTTTTTTTAATTTTAACTTATTTAAGGATCATTTTTTCAATTTTTAATTCTAGATTAGACTTCTATCTGATTATTTTTTATTTAAAATTAGATTTTTTTGTAAGGTTTTCATCAATTTTATAATGAACATATACGTGATTTATACATAGTTGATTTTTTGTATAAATATATAAAAACTTTACCTTCAAAACTTATTTATTTTCTTCTAAAATATTTTTTGAATTGTTTACTTCTTAGCATTTAGAAGTCATGAGACAAGTTTTAAAGAAAAAAATAAAAAACATCTATAAGTTTTGGCATTTTTTTAATAAAAATTTAACATAAAAACACAATTTCAAATTAAAAATAGAGAAAAAGTGGTACAATTTGAAATTAGAAATTAAGTGACTTAATCGATCCTCAAATTACTTAAAGTTGAAAAAACGTTTGGAACGTTTTTCCATGTTTTTTCCTAATGGTGCTTTTTGCATATATAAAACCCTACTTTTTTCCAACTTAATCGACATAGCCTTGTTTTTTCCTCTGTGCTTTTTGGCTCTGTCTTCCTCTGCTGTGACTCCCCTATCCACTGTTTGATATTAGCAAACAGTATAGGAGAGTTTAGAAAAATAGTTTGATTTGTCCAATGGAACTTTAGCGTCAAAGGATTTCCTGTAATAATTGTTTTATCATTGCTAAAAACAAGGCTATGTTAATTCACTTAAAATAATAAAGTTAAAAGACATAATAGGGCATTGGCCCAAAACATTATGGCTTATGAGGTGGCCCAATACTAATGGACCCCTTAATGTCTTTTTTTCCCAATTTTTAAATGAGATATAATAGGCCCTTTTCTTCACATGTAAATCAGAAGTATCATTCCATCATCATGCCAATTAACAGTTTGACACAGTGGTGCTTTCAAAATCCTAAGGAAAGTTTCTTCGATTTATTTAGCAGTGTTTACGGAGTAGATTATAAATAAATCCCTATAGTTTCAAATAATAATAATAATAATAACAACAATAATTACTCTCTTTTGTTTTAAAATCTAACTATTTAGTTTTTTAACCAGTATTTAATATATAATTTAATGTTAATTTATTTTTAAAAAATATATTTTTTCTCATCAGCCTCTCTATAATATCTATTTATTTTTTTCTAATACAAATAAATTAAATTAAATTAAAAAAACATAAAATTGATAAAAAGAACTAAATTATTACCACTAGGGATGTGATCTAGCTATAAGGAGGTCGATTTAACCTTTAAGTTAGTCAAGATCAAAATTCAATTTTACTCATAAATAATTACCCATAATTATTTTTTAGTGATATCATATTTGAATAAAATATGTCCAAAAAGAAGGTCAATAGTCAATTAAAAACTAAACGTATTTTGCTACTGGCTTAGATTTTGTCTTATGGAGGACAACAAATCCTACATTTTCAGTGGCCAAAGCTCAATAATCTTGTTTAAACGTCCAAGTCTGATCTACCTTTAGTCTTTTTTTGGATCATGACAAATAAAATTGTATACAAATCCATAAAATATTATTAAAAAAATATTGTAATATATATATATCAACTACTATCATAAATTAACGTGCCAAGAAAGAAAATTAAAAAAACGGAAACAAAATCTGATGTGAATCCATCAATCAAGATAAATCACATCCATAATCCTTGTCAATTCGCCCTTTAATTTGAAGTCAATAATTTGGTAACAAAATTTTACTTGTGTTTAGATTTTTTCACATTTGTTTCTTATACTTTTCAAACAAATTTTATTGAGACTATCTATTCTTTTATATTTTGATCGAGACTCTCTATTATTTGAGATATTTTGCTTCAAATCTTTCGTTATAACACCATTAATCGAGTGATCAATATGTTATATAGATTTTTTTATTTTACAATGTCACATATTGATAACTAATTATAAGTATTATAATAAAGAGTTTAAAGTAGAAATCTCAAAAAATAAAGAGTCTCGATCAAAGGAAAAAAAAAGCTCAAAATGATGTGATTTTAGTTTATTGTAGCAGGGCTTAACTATAATTCTATGAACGATTTCCTCGTTTAGATAATTAATTTATAAAGTTTCCGTATGTTTTTTCCACATGTATGGACAAAAATTTTGCTTTCATTTCCCAACCAATTTGCCAATAGAGTTTGACATAACTGATAGTAAGGATACGATAGTCAATCAATTTTTTTAAGGATTATATATATATATATATATATATAACATGCAAGTCGCCAAATTTAAGCCCAAACTTGCATCAATTCGACTTACAATTTTCAAATTAAAATCAAGCCCAGATTTTGTTTTCTCCGAGTCTCACAGTCTACTTCATAGACAGGTACGACAACAAGCCCAAATTGACTTGGGTGGACCGAATCCATAATGCCCACAAAACATACCCTAATGGCTTTAAAAGGGCTTGGGATCAACAAATGTGGAGGGACGATCCCAACAACATCGTGTAGTACTGAGTTTGTCTCCATATCTTCTCAGTACTGTTGGATTGGATCGAGAGCTTCTGTAGAAAAAGCCTCCAACTCTTTAGATAAGTCACCAACGCTGTGGAATAACGCTTCAAGCGTAAGAATTATGCAGTTTGGTTTTCGAGGAAATAATCATCTTCAATTTCTTCTACTGCGATCATAGGTTGAGATTTTAAATTCAGAACATATGTTTAACTACATGCCAACCATATGAAATGAAGATGAAAGAAAAGCTAAAAAAAGAAATAAACAATAAACAATATACCTTTAGAATAAGCAGGTTAGACAGTTTTTTGTATTGTTAAAATTAAATCCTTCTTTGATATGTCAGGCTTGTTAAAGTAGAACCAGAAGTCCCGCTTCTCTTTTTTTCGTGCAATAAAAATTCGAAATATAAATAATCAATCGCACATAAACAAACAAGATTTTTTACGTGAAAAACCTCCAACGTAGAGGAAAAAACCACGGGACCGTAATCCATTCAAACTCATCCACTATATCAATGAAATTACAAAGTAAGGTCTGATATTGATAACTAGAGCCTGCTACATCTATAAACACATGATGGAATCAACTTCCTTGGCTCACAATACAAATATCATCACCAACAAGGTGGATTACAAGAAATACCAGCTAGTGAGATCTCACCAAAGGGCCGGGTTGATCAACAACCAAGATCAAGACCAATGAAATCAAAGCTTGCACAGTCAGAAACAACTCATTGAAATTACCCCTAGCAGACACCAAGCCGCTCTTCGAATTGAAATAAACCCCAATTTCTCTCTTGGCAATCTCAGTCTCCACTGTGTATGCTGTTGCTAACAATGTGGTATGGTATTGAGTTGATGCCGCTGTAAGCCTTCATTTCATCAACAGACCCATTCAAGTGTTGGATAGAGTTCAGAGCTTCAACAGGGAAAGCCTCAATCATCAAACAAGCCACCAGCTGGCAGTTCCTTCAATTACAAGAGAAAATATTATCAATTACAATCATAGAGAACTTTATGATAACCGATAAAACAAATCAATTATTTCTTCAACTAGTAGAGATCCATCATTAATACCATATCATATGCCACAGACTTCTGCACATAACTGGCGATGATGATATGTCTCTAGTGTCACCCCATTCCACAACAATATGGGATCTGCAATAACAGGTAAAACTCGTTTAAAATTTTGATTTCAATTATTCATGCTTGATGACAACCTGACTGAGTTTCTATTTTAGATGTAAAGGAAACGGTAATATTCAACACCAGATGTAAACACTGCATTTATATGGTTAGTGAGCGTAATTCTCCACAAATGAATCAATAACTTTAAATTTTGGAATTCAACTTTGTCAAGTCTATTTCACTGTATTGTCTCCAACTGAGGAAAGATTATCCAGAGGAAAAAAATATTCATACTTCAAATCCTGCTTTAGTTCTGTAATCTCAATAGAAATTCTGCTCTACTTTTGGTTTCTACAGCCAACATCCCATATATGATTTGTTGATCATACTTACCATGCGCTGCTGCGTGCGGTTACTTTTACAGGGAATGGGAAGGGAGGGTTGACAAGCCCATCCATCTACAATACCAAGGTTGAACAGGGTCAGCTGCATTTTCTGCTACAAAGAGGGGATCTTTTCCTCCTTCCCTTGAATGCATTTTTGGAAACTACCACTATATACACCACCCGGTTAGTAAATTGAATCCCTAGCACTGCTGCAATTTCTCAAAGAAGCGGCAACAAGACCTGAACACCAATGAGTAGAGAAACAGATTACCATCAACAATATGATTTTATTTCACTTCCCAAACCAAAAAAGGTACAACAGCTGAAGATGAAAACCAAGGTCAGCTTACAAAGGGAAAAATAATCATTACTGAATCTTCCACTCCTAGAAGACGATCTGCTCCTTCTCGTTCCTTGAATGCCCTGTCAGAAGCCCATAAAAACAGTTTTTGCAATGTCCCAATTGGTTAATGGAATCCCCAGCTTAGCAGCAATCTTTGAGACAGAAATATCGCCATAGCAATGAGTAGAGAATCATACTACTATCAAGTAACTAGATAAGAAACGTTGGCTAATGAAGGGGAAAAAAGAACAATTTCTGTATGCTTGCAAAAAGGCTTACAAAATATCAAATGCAATTACAGCTAGCATTCTGAATTGCCTTCTCAGAATATCCTGGAGGACCTGGAAAAATGAAACAGAAGCTAAGAGAAGGAAAAAAGAATACTAGATGAAGCATATAAGAAAATTCATCCAGGACTGTTAATGCAATCATCTTGCATCTTGCACTCACAGTACATTGATTTCGCATATGAAGACCCCCCACCAGTACTCCTTTGTTAGGTTCCATAAAATATCATTTTATCAGAAATTACTTCATTAGTATTCATATTATTATGCTGTCAAGGACTGATTATATTGAGGTATAAAATAAAATTGGAAAGACTTTTATAGTTGATTGAAGGAAGTTTCTAATTGAATATTTACCTCATAGAGTACTATTATCTTAAAGGACCATCTTCGACCATTTGCTCCCCCTAGTAGCTCCAAACTGAATAGTGTAACATTATTGAAAGAATGAGCCACCAGCTGTTATTATCAATGGAATTTGTAGAGTTCAATAACTGTTAGAGCTAATCCACATCTTCAAATGTATGAGGCCCATAAAGACCAAACGGAATTTGTGAAAGCTGAAGCATTTCCTTAGAATGTCAGAGCTATGCACAAATTGAAGGCGAATCAGAATTTACTGGAGTGACTGTCACATGTTTCTCAATCAAATGGCAATTTACTAGAGTGACTGTCACATGTTTCTTGATCAAATGGCTGCAGCCTGCTTCTAAGGCTTCAAATCAGGAACAAAATCATTGTCGATCGGTTACAGAGGAGGATGATATTTAAAGAGCTGAGGTATCAGCAGGTGCTTTATCCTCTGACAAACAATCTACTATGCTTCTTGAAGTGTATTGGAATATTACGTTCTTCTTGTCGAGTAACTCTTGTTTGGTTGACCAAACTAGGAAGTATGTTTCTCCTGAAAATTTAGTAACAGTAAATTAAATGCAAAATCCGCATAATTATGGAGAGTGTGGACTTTAATAGAAAGAGGCAAATACCTAGCAGACAACTTTATATGAGAGGAAATTTTTAGGGAAAGGATGAAGAGGGGAGAAAAGCATTGGTGTGTAGAGATGAACTTGTTTGCATGGAGGATTCGGCTGTTACAGGTTTTAACACGGCGGCTGTAGAACCACGGAGTCCTTGTCTTAGCTATGCTGGAACTTCATCCATAATCTCTGTTACAAAAATACAAGAAGAGATCTTCACATTGGACTCAAATAAGAGATGATTTTCTTGGAATTTTGCAGAAAATCTGTCCCTTGGATTTTTTTTCAGCCTAATCTACAACTTAACTATTGTTCCTAATCCAATTTTCAATCATCAATTTTCACTCCAATTTTCACTATTGTTCCTAATCCAATTTTCAATCATCAATAGGACCATGTCAATGATACACTAGAACTAGCAACATCAATTTCAAAAATACTCAAGAAAAATGTTATAATTGTATGAGGGAAAGTTAGCTTGACAAAAATTCTACGGTTAAATCTAGAAAAAAATCAATTGACAAGATGAGTTCAAGTTATAAACTAAGGTGAGATACATGGAGCATGCAATTATCAACTTTTTAAGGAAAAAATCAATAAATAAATAAAATTTCAAAACTCCCACTACTAATCTTCTTCTAATTCTTTATCTTCACAATGGAAAAAGGATATATTTGATCTTAGGAGTATAAAATTCGTTGCACCTTATAAAACCCAATATTGGTACAGTTGCTTCTATCTCAGTGCTTAAAAACTATTGAAAATAAGCCAAACAAGTATATTATACGGCTATCAGATAAAAGAAACGAATTGCAAATGAACATATCTTGTCTAGATTCAAGTTTCCTATAAAAAATGGTGTAAATCAATCAAAATCAAAGGAAAAGTGAGGCAATTAAATTTATTAATTAGAGAAAATAATTGAAAGATTTGAGAAATCCAAACTTACTTGGCCTTGTATACTTGCGAAATGTAATTTGATTATTGGGATATTCATAATCTTGGGCCACTCAGAGCCACTGCCCTTGGCGCAATTTTGCTCAAGTAATGGGCATTTGTAGATCCACAACTCCCTTAAATTAGAATTGGAGAGGCTTTGCATGGCTGTTGAACTTGCAACATACTTGAGATTCTTACAATCCCACATATGAAGGGATTCAAGAGAAGAAAGGTTGCCCAACCAATCTGGCAAAGCTTCCTCTAAGTCCTCCCCGTTGAATCCCTCTATAGCCAAACTCTTAAGGGAAGTGAGGTGTTGAAGTTGATGTGGTATACTCTTCAGTTTATCCCATCCATATATCGTTAGCGCTTCCAGGCATCTACTCCCACTCAAGTAGTGTTGGATTGAATTCATAATTCCAACAGGAAATTCCTCCAACTCCTCTGAGAATCTACCAATTGTCAACTCTTCCAATCTGGTGAGGCTGCGAAAGAAATGCTCTGGACAATCACTCAAAATCGGGCAGTCTGTGATATGTAATGATCGAAGACAAGAAGAAAGCGATGACCATTGGAAGATAAGCTCGTTGTTGCAATCTGTTATTTCCAAGCTCTCCAGAGAAGATGAGCACGATAGTAGCCCACTAACTGCAAGACTATAGCTCGTTAATTTTGGACACCTGTAGATGCTCAGAGTTCTAAGAGATTGCAATTCTCGGAAATCACCACCACCGTTATTAGGAGGAGGATCATTACATATCATCAACTCCCTGCAGTTATAAATATACAATTCCTCCAGAGCTGTGCAGCGTTGTATGCTTGGAATAGATGCTAGATTTCCACAATCATATATAGCTAAATATTTAAGAGATGGCGGGACGGCATCAAATTCATCACGATCATTGATAAGCAAATTTACAGGTTTTGACGAAAGACGAGCCATCGATGGAATGCTTTTCAATTTAGGACAACGGGAAATGTACAACCTTTCAAGGCAAGGAGATACTTCTAGTGGTTGTACGCCATAAGTTGTAGCAGCTGGCACCATCCACTGCTCTAGACTCTCCATATCTTTTAGATAGAGTTTTTTTAATGCTGGAAAAAGTGGAACTGACATTCCACTATTGCCACTATAAAACTCATTCCCTATACAACTTACACTACCCATTCCTCTTATCACAAGATCTTCAAGACAAGGAAGGTGTCCGAGTGAAGGAAGCTGTTTACACTCTCTGCAGTCTTCCAATTTCAGCATCACCAAATTATGGAGTACTGGCATCAGCAACGATGGTGGGAATTTTTCACCAAAATAGTTGTTAATCGTTAAGGATCTTGTACCTGGGTGAGCCTGGAGCCCTTCCAACACATCCTCGTCATTCATGTTGCTGGTGTTGCTTTCTCTTCTTCTACTCCATTCCAATTCCAGATTGGATATCTTTGCTTTACTAAGCAAGTCTGATCCCTCGGCCTCTTTTTTGTCTCTCACATGCTCCAAACCGGCTATTCTCAACTCTCCTCTTAATTCCTTCAAGCATCCCAACTCTTCAATTTTATGGCCCCGAGCTGGACCCACAACAAATAACGGCAGTGTTTGAAGATTGGTTAAGCACCCCAAATGCGCTGGAATCTGGCCCTCTACAGTTACATAAAGATGTCTTAAGCTCACCAAATTTCTCATTTTTTTGGGAAGCTTTTCGAGTTTACAGCTTAACCTTAAGGTTTGCAAATGGAAGAGCTTCGTGATGGATTCCGGAAGCGCTTTGACACCAGTTTGTGAGATGTCCAAATATCTCAAATGTTTCAGCCTACAAATTGAATCTGGCAACTCTTTGACATCATAATCACCATTCAAGCTTAGAGTTTGCAAGCGTTTGAGTTTTCTGGAATTGTTGTGGAAGACATTGACACTCGAGAATAAAGAACGCAATTTCTTAGCAACACCTGGCAGACATGTCAGCTCATCATCCCTGTAAGAGAGGAGATTTAGATGACGGATACGACATTTGTCATCTAAAACTGAACCTGCGTTCAAAATCAGTGTTTCTGATTTCGAAACAGATAGTGCAAGATCATGCATAAGATCATGCATCTTGCAACCTGTTACATTCCTATACCCATCCCTTCTCACATCTTGAAAAAAGGAATGTTCAAGCAAGTAGTCGAAATAGTCGTCACCTTTATCTTCCATCCCTCCATTAGACGGCCCAAGCAACCCTTCAGCCATCCA